TCAAGCAGGCTTGAGGGGTTGGGGCAGAGATGGGTATGGCAAGTGGATGAAAGTGGAGGAGGAGCTTGGACTGTAGACAGCAGGGGAGTGTCACGGGGAAGGTTAGGCGCACCCGACCTTAACACCCTAAACCCTAAACCCGAAGCCCTAAACCCTAAACCCTAAACCCTAAACCCTAAACCCTAAGCCCTAAACCCTAAACCCTACACCCTAAACCCTAAGCCCAAGCCCTAAACCCTAAGTGGGCTTGGTTGCGGCTTGGAGCGTGGGATTCCGCCCTTGTTGCGTCTAAGCTTTCCTTGAATCCCTAGCTCCACCCTGAACCCTAAACCCTAAACCCTAAACCCTAAACCCTAAACCCTAAACCCTAAACCCTAAACCCTAAACCCTAAACCCTAAACCCTAAACCCTAAACCCTAAACCCTAAACCCTAAACCCTAAACCCAATCCTCCATACCCTCCAAGTCCAAGAATCCGCAAGGTTCTAGCAAGGAAGCCTTCAACCCTAAACCCGAGGGTTCAAGAGATTTTCGGCCTGGTTTCATGTATTATTGTTTTTTTTTTTTTTTATGAAGTTTATGGATTAATCAGTTTCTGTGGGGACTCCAGAAGTTTCCATGTTAGGTGAAGGGTTTGGGGTTTAAGGTTTAGGGTCTGCCCTGACCCTACACCCTGAAAAGACGTGAGCCCAAGAACGCCTAAAGCCTGCGAAAACCTAAGCCCTAAGAAATCCAAAGCAAATCCTAAACCCTAAGCCTTAAGTCCTAAACCCCAAGCAAACCCTAAACCCTAAACCCTAAACCCTAAACCCTAAACCCTAAACCCTAAACCCTAAACCCTAATCCGACGATGCCAGGCTTAGACAACGACGGCAACGTTGTCGCAGATGCTCGGCCCCCTAGCTTGGGTGCTGTCGCAAGTTGAACCCCTAAGCCCCCTAAGCCCATGAACCCCAAACCCAAAACCCCAAACCCCAAACCCGAAGATCCTAAAGCCTAAGCCCTGAAGCCCTACTAAACCCCACACTGGCGTAGGGGCTCAGGGTTTACGGTTCTAGGTCTTGCAGGGTCCAGGGCTTATACGCCTCACAGAAGAAAGGGTGCTTGGCATGCAATTCTCAAGCCGCGCGGGGGGGGGGGGGGGGGGGGGGGGCGGCAGAAGCCTGCAACCCTGGCGGGCCCTACAATCCCTAAACCTTTGTGGGCCCGAGTTGCACCCTAAACTGGTTAGGATTGAGCTGAGGGCTTTAGATAGAGGGTTGCTCCAAACATTTTTTCGGCTCACGCCCAAGCCCCCCCCCCTCCAACGAGAATCAGCTCTTTTGCGCAACGCCAGTGCCAGTCGTGAAGCTAGCAGCAGGAAACGCATAATGATAGTGACCATGATACAGCTACCGAAACATACCGAGGATGATAGTGATGTAAAAAACTTTATATACCCCACTTGCGGGAAATCTACGAACCGCTTTTTCGATGTCAAGACATGACATCCGTTGCTCAAAGTGAGAATAGTAGGTGGTTTAGGGTTTAGAATTTAGCTCCCCCTTTTCTACGTCAGGTTTAGGGTTTAGGGTCCAGGGTTGAAGGAAAATTAGCTCCTCCTTTCCACGTAAGGTTCGCAAGCCTTCAGACTATCTAAGGCGCACACTCCTTCAGAAAACGGAGACGCTGACGGCGAACCCCAGCATACACACCAAACTTCCCCCAGAGCCCCCGCGCCCAGATTTTGTTTACATCCTTCTACTTCGTGGAGCTGGCGATGCGGCTGATCGCCTACAGGGTTGGCCCGACTATTTTTCGCAGGGTGTCGGCTCTTGGTTTATCCGGGAGTTGGGGCCCAGGGCGATCCGGAGAGGCTTCTGGAGCCTCTAGAGTTTCGGACTTCGAGTGGGGTTTAGGGTTTAGGGTTTAGGGTTTAGGGTTTAGGGTTAGGGTTTAGGATTTAGGGTGAAGGTTTTGGGTTTAGGGTTTAGGGGTTAGGGTGTAGGGCTTAGGGTTCAGGACTTGTCATATGGGGTCTGGGGTTTAATTATCGGTTTTGCAGGGTCGACCGCTTTGGTGGTAGGGTCTTGGGCGTCAGGGTTCAGCATGTGCTCTTCCACGAAGTGCAACAAGACCTGCAAGTGGTCCTTCGTCCTTATGCCCCATTCAGATGGTCAGTTCTTTAATGTAGGGTGAAGTTCTTTAAATGTAGGGTCAACACCTAAACCCATGACAGGTGTAAGACTTGGAACCCTAAACCCTAAACCCTAAGCCCTAAACCCTAAACCCTAAACCCTAAACCCTAAACCCTAAACCCTAAACCCTAAGCCCGCGTCGGGGAAGGGGAGGCTTGCTTCTATGCGTTGACTGCTTGGCAACTTTTGGGGAATATTGCCAGGACGAGTTCTTCTACAGCGGCTGGAATCTGATGGATCTTGGCACCTGGACAGCATAGGGCATAGGGTTTAGGGTTTAGGGTTTAGGGTTTAGGGTTTAGGGTTTAGGGACCATCAGCTTGACTCTGTGCCTGAACCACAGACCCCAAAAGGATTTTGGGCTGCAATCTGTGCAGGCGTCTTGTCTTTGTGCAGCGCCCGGTTCTCTAAACTCCGGCTTTTTTTCGGGGGTGCCGGGTACCCTGAACGTGGGTCCGTATGACAGGAGCCCGAAACAACGACAGTAGCGTAGAGAACTGACCACATCTTTTGGCATTTCCTGACCCATGGACACCTGCAAAAAGAAGAACTTCAGCCCCGCGCCAGATACCCCAAACCCAAAGCTCTTGTTTAGGGTTAGGGCGTTAGGGTTTTAGGGTTTAGGGTTCAGGGTTTAGGGTTTAGGGGGTTTAGGGTTTAGGGCTTGAACCCTAAACCAAATTCTTGGCGCCGGACGTGCCGGAGAAATCTCTCCACGAGTCCTAAACACCCTCAAACAAAGGGAGTCTTATTGGCCAAGCTCTGAACGCCGGGAATCCTAAACCCTGAGGTTTAGCGTTTAGGGTTGAGGGTTTATTGCCCTAAGCCCGAAACTCTCTGGTTGTGAGAATGCAAGCTGCGAGGCCTCCTCGTAATTGCAATCGTAGACTTGATCTTCTACTTCAGCGTCGGCGGAACCTCTCTGGACCCTGCCTCAGGGGCGTTTCTAGGGCTTGAGAAGGGTGGTCAGATTTCCGGTTTTGGGGTTTGAGTTTCTTGGGTTCAGTCTGTTGGATTCTCCTGAGGGCTTTCGCCCCAAGCTTGACCCATGTGGCCGCTACCATCTTCAAACTCAACTCCAACCCCAAACCCTATTGGAGTTTATTCCAGGCATCTGCGAAACCTGCCTGGGTTGGACTTGGAAAGAACTGGAACCGGTTCCTTCGGCTCTTTACAAAGCATCCTGTTTTGGCCGGGTTAGTAGACACACACACACACTGTGTGTGTGTGTATGTCCTTCAGATCAGCTAGATAAGAAGTTCTGACTAGCAGCCAAGCATTGCAGCAACACGGGAGTGGGTCAGTTGTTGCCAACATGAATGGCAGCCCGTGACGGCGAACATGTTACCGTGTGCCGAGTGTAGGTCTCTTGACTGTTATCCTGACCAATTTTCTGCACATCAGGAAATCGGCCAGTACCCGCTGCCATATACAGCTGTTGCTTTTGGTGGACTTGTCCCATCGCCCGCCAGGAGTAGTGCAAAAGATCCTAGTGCAAGCAATGCAGGACTTGTCCAATGATTTTGAACAGTGTTTCCTAGCAGCTTTGCCTCAGCTGCCTCAGCCCTTCTGTAAAACAGTGCCCGAAACCGCCCAAGCCCTACACCCTAATTAAGACTTTTTGTTGGCATTACTGTTGCTGCTTTTGCAGTTGCTGACGCTCTTCCCACCACTGCTACTGCCATTCCTGTTAGCTTCCGCCGCATCCACCGGACTTCTGCGCCCTAAACCCTAAACCCCTCGCAGTGCCAAGGACGTGATGGTCATCCTGTGCGAGATTGATTGTTGCTGCCTTCGTCATTCCTAGCATATCTCAGTGGTTCCCATCTCTCGCATGTGCCTCTTAGTCATGAGTGTTCAGGGCCCGACGTCGATGCTTCCTGCAAGTACTGTATCCAGACTACAGAGGAACCTTGCCGACGTGTGTGCTACAGTAGACTCAGGCATGCCGCGAGCGTAAACAGCAACAAAGCTAGGCCTATTTCAGGTGGATACATAACATGACCCTTGTGTAACCCGTAGTGCCCTTATATGCCCCGTACAGAAGCCCTTTAGAGGCATTTCGCCTGGGAACTCTCTTCCCGAGGTTCTCCTAGTCCTCAAGCCCCCAAGCAGGCGACACGCTCACCGGAGCTTTAACTTAAAAGCGCGTTGCCCGGTTTCTACAAGCTCCCAAGCCAGCCCTTCTGGTCGCGTAGGTGGATTCGGGGTTTGGGGTTTGCAGGGTTTAGGGTTGAGGGTTTCAACCCCTGAGAAGAATGTCCAAGGAGCACCTGAGCGGACCGACAAAAAACGCTCCCCCCCCAAAAGGTCGCAAGTCCTTCGCTTGGGTGCACACCCTGAACCCCCCCAAAACCCTGCAGCTGAAACCCTCACTCCCAACCCCTGAGCCATATATACCTCATCCCCTAAATGCTTGTTCAACCTCCCTAAAGCCTTCTGCACCCTGGCTCGTTTTTCCTACATCATACTCGCTTTCCTCTTGGGGTTCCCTGTAACATTTCCCATATGTGGTGGCTTCCTTTCGGCTTTACAGGGTGTAGAGTTAGGGTTTAGCGGGTACTCCAAAATGAGTGCAAGAACTGGTTTTGTGATAGGTGTAGGCATTGCTGAATGCGTTGAAGTACTCAATGCAATAGACAACATTGAGCCTTTTCGGGTTGTTGAAGGCACCTATTATTTCAAGAATAAAGGCAGCAAGGCAGGCTACTGGAAATGCTCGAAACATGAAGCGTTTGCAGCAGGTTTTGCATGGCTCCACTGAAGAAGCATCCAACTCTAGTTATTCTTGTTGGGGTTGAGGGTTCCAGTGCACAGCACATTCATGAAGCCGGCGATGCTTGTGCTCGCGCTCCTGGCTTTGTTACTGCTTTGCCTCAGCATTCATTCCGTGGCCCCAGACGGCCTAGATGCAGGCGAGTCGCCAAAGCAAGGCTCCAGCCACTCGGAGGGCTTGCCCGAGACTCTGGAGGCCAAGAAAGGGAAACAAGAGGAGGCCTTTGAAGGCTTGGAAGAGTCAAACGACGAGGATGTGGCGCTGATGCTTCGCTTCTACCGGCGGGTGTGCGACCTGCTGGGCCCTCGGAAGGACTGGCGCCCCAAGGGCCTCAAGCCCAACGTGCGCACCGCACCCTTGGCTCTGCGGGAGCAGCTCTTCGAGCTGCTGGCGGAGCAGCCTTCGCTGCCTGCCCTGCAGCAAAGAACACGCCCGCCATTGAAGCCCAATTGCAAGATGACGGAGCTGTATCCAAACATCTTGAACGGCTTGCCAAGAAGCCAGCCCGCGGTACTGATCGACATGCCCACTGGCATGGGAGGAGGGCCAGAACTAGATTTCCTGGAGATTCGGATCTTGGAGCTACAAGGCACGGCAAAACTCACTTTAGGGAAATAAATGCATAAATGAAGGAGTATCTTTGAGATCAGAGATACCTGAATACTATATATGATTATATATGTATGTTTATATATGTAACACCTCTTCGACTTCTTAAAGCCAGGGCTTCTTAACAGGCTCTAGTATGACCAAGGGCTGCTTGACTGAATCTAGCTCCACCGCACTGTAAGACATGGCACAAACCCCAAAGCGCCACGCCCTGGCAAGGAATTGCGGACTTGTTTGTGGTAGGAGAGTCTAACCACACCTTCCGCGGTGACATCAAACCGCGAAACTTCCAGCGGAACAGCCATCGCTTCGACAACTTGGCCAAGTTACCTCGGCTCTGTTAGCTCTGTTAGGACCTCATGTAGTCGATCATGAAAGTTTGAAAGGCGTTAACCAGATTTGGGTTGCTTTATGAAACTTCGAAAGTTTGGCGTGCGATGTTGCCGAATAAGCCCTGAGCATGCCCAAGCATCCTCAAGCATCCCTGACCATCCCAAAACCCCAGAATATTTTTAAAGAACGCTTAGGGGGGAGTCTTCGTTTTACTGGTCGGGGGTAGACAGGTTCCAGATTCCCCGAATGCGTAGCCGAAGGCGGTGGAAGAGGCAATGGGTAAAATCTCTGCGCAGGCGTCCGCGAAGAGTTCGCGCTGTAGGTGTGAAAGCGGTTGTTTAAGACATCATTTGGTCTTGTCGTTTGCGGGCTGTAGCTGCAGAATCCCGCGTTTTCGCTTCGTTTCGCGTCCGCGAAGCGCGAATGTCGCGCGACGGCTGTAGTCTTTTTTGCATGGTTTGGTGAAGTAGCGTGGCGGCTGCAGTTGTGGAACGCCTGCGTCTTGACATCGTTTCGCGAAGCGTCCGCGACTGTCGCGGGTGGTTGTAGTCGCGGACCATCCGCATCGTAGCGCCGTGTCGCGAAGGGTCCTCGACCGTCGTGTGGCGGCTGTAGTTGCGTAACGCTTGTGTTTGAGCTCGAACAAGAGAGAGAGAGAGAGAGAGAGAGAGAGAGAGAGAGAGAGAGAGAGAACATAAACAGTAAAGAAGCCAGAGAGAGCAAGAGAGACTTAGAGAGAGGGAGATAGAGAGGAACAAGGAAAGAGAACAATAACGGAGACAGTGAGAGATCCGGATGGCGCCGCTGCATTCTCGATCAAGTGGGTCGCGCGTCTGCATTCGTGTTCGTGTGGCATCTATGGCCTCTAATAGGTTTCATGTTATGAGGTTGAGAGGAGCATCGGAGCAATATACCCACTGCAGGTTGCTTTACCTGGACTTCGATAGCTGCAGCGGCTTTCAGCGCAGGGTGGAGGAGATGCGCTCAGCAGGCGTTGGCCCGGCGATGACCTTCTCCCCGATCGAGCAGTCTCAGCGACGCTGTTTGTGGGAGCTGCTACATCAGGAGAGCCCTATAGATGGGACCTAAAACCGAATAGCCTTCCGAATTGTAAGCGCTTGCGCGAGTCCGCCTCGGCGTTCCAGGAGAGGTTTGCCAGTTTTTTTCGGGACCCTTTTTTTCGTGCTCTGTGTGGGAGGGGCCCATGGGCTGGGACCCCCCCCCCGCCCCCCCCGGCATGGGATTGCGACTCTTCCAGGTTTGGGCAGGTCCCGCACAATAAGGAGGGGGGGGGGGGGGTTAGGATTTAGGGTTTAGGGTGTAGGGTTTAGGGTTGAGGGTTTAGGGGGCGTGACCAATTTGTACTTGTTCCAAATGCCTCTGGGCCAGAGGCCAAGACGAAGTAATCCCTCAAACCTTCAAGCCTAAACCCCTAGTAGAAGAGTAGTTAACCTTCAACCATTCTGGGGCAGAATAATCCCCTCATAATCCCAAAGGTTAACCTTTAATCCCCCAGGTTACTGGACAACTAAGAACCCTGTAGACTTTATAGACCCTGAACTTAGACTTCAAGAACCGAGTTGCCCAAAACCTACAAAACCTACAAACCCTACAAAACGCACAAAACCTACAAAACCGACAAAACCTACAAAACCTACAAAAACCTACAAGCCGTGAGCCCGAAGCATCAAGACTGACGGCTATGAGCCCTGAAGCTTGGACCGTATGCTCATCTAAGCACTATGGAAAGAGCACAATGTTGCGAGTAATCTTCCCCCACCTTGAATATGCAGGGACGCCCAGATCTGCCCGATGATTCGCTGGTGATCTTCACTGACCTGGATGAGATTCCCAACGCTGAGACCATGATGGCCATGAAGCATTGCCAGCTTGTAGATGCAAGCCAGACGAGATGGGCAATTGAGCAGAGAACGGTTGCCTTCAACCTCCGCAGTTTCGGCAAGCCAAACAAGGCATGCTACCCAAGCTTTCCATGGAGACAGGGAATGTTGTACACACTGGGCAATGCGCAGGACCGTCTCAAGCAGAACCAGGAGATAGCTTTCAGAGGAGAACGTACGCTCCCCACTTTGCGGGGTGCAGCGATGCACTTGGCACACTTTGGCAGCGCGCGGACCCTGACCATCAAGGGTCTGCAGCATGGAGAGGGAGGCGGGCTCTATCTGCCTAAGCACTTCGAGCCCTGCGCAGCCACCCAGAAGAATGTCACCGAACTCCTCGCAACTTTCAGAGACAACCCTTTGAGCATCGTGCAGGAAACTCTCACGTTCTTTACGTTTTCTTTACTTTTTTTTTTTTTTTTTTTTGGGGGGGGGGGGGGGGTGGGCGCTTGTTTACAGGGTCCCTAAGGTCTTGCCCGTGCTCCTCTTTTTGTTCTTGGGTTTGGGAGCTTGAAAGACTGTCAGGATCAGAGCGACCCTCTGCCCAAGCATGCCCGACTGGATGCCTTGCGGAACTGTCAAGTCCCATGGGCTCTGCAGGCAAATCCCGAGCGATACGCTGCCTTCTGGGGACAAGTAGGACGCGACATGCAAGGCTCAAGAGAAAAGGGGAAGGGGGTGGGGGGGGGGGGGTGGCCCTCTTCCTTTATGCGCTTCGACCTTGGTCTTCGGGCTTTTCTGTGTGCCAGATCTGACACCTCAAGCCGATAAATGTCTATAAAGCCCGATAGCTCAACTCCTACAAAGCTTAAGAAAGTCCAACCGCACACCTTTCACAAATCCGGGATCGCCGTCGCGGCATGCGATGGCGACGAGTTCAGAGCGCCAATCGCGAGCAGCACCAGCTCTTTCTCTCCCAGATGACCATAGAATCCCTTCTAAGCCCTAAACCCGAAACCCCAAACCCTAAACCCCAAACCCCCGAAACCCTAACCCCTACAAACCCTGCCCCTGCGAGCCAGGTTTCCCTTCGGCTGATGCGCCTGCTTCGTCTCGGGGGCTTGGCCGGGGCACCTAGAACCCTTAAACCCTAAACCCTAAACCCTAAACCCTAAACCCTAAACCCTAAACCCTAAAACCCTAAAACCCTAAAACCCTAAAACCCTAAAACCCTAAACCCTAAAACCTTAAACCCTAACTTACTCAAGCCTCCGCCCCAAACCCTGCACGCCCAGGTGTTCTGGCAGTAAGAGGCGAAGGGTTTGGAGTTGAGTGGTTTATCACTTTGTTGTGCGGGGGTTCGGGTTTAGGTTTAGGAAGGGGTTTCGGGGTCCAGGGTTTAGGGTTGGTTCGGCTTATTCCTTCAGCGCTACACGGGGTGTGCAACAATGCTTCGTGGGCTCCACTTCTGACGGAGGTCCCGACGCTGCGACACGGTAAGTGGCCCAAGTAGTTTCAGCATACCAAATAGTGGGACGAGTTTTTTGGAAACCATTTATCAGTGCAACAAGTCGCCCTTCTGTTCTTCCTTCTTGCGACCTTCAGGCTGCAGAAGTTGAGCCTTGGAACCTTAGAAAAGAGCCTCTGACACCTAAAGATAGCCAAGTAGGACCCCGGAGGCGAGGCATGCCCCTTGGGGGATATGTGTAGGTCGCTTCGTTGGGCTCGGGAGGATCTTATGTCGGATTCGTTTACAGGGCCACCCTACATCAAGCCAGGTTCGCTTACTCCGCTTCTTCCGGCCACTCTACCTGCTCGTCGCTGGGATCATGGTGTCCATCAAGACCCGGGGGCATAAGATCATGTTCGGCTTCAACCCGCCTGGGCCGCTAGTAGCTGGACCTGGAACGCTGAAACCAAACACCCCTACTCGCAGCACCTCAGGCGCCCCTTTTTGGCTCAGGGATTACAAACGTTTTACAAGAGCTTGGCCACTCTTCTGGCTGCTCAAAGCCTGTCAGCCATAAGAGTCATGCCAGCAACGCGGGGAGCAAGCAAGGCCTTTTCCCCAAAACCCTGTAATTCCTAAGCCCACTCATGGCTTTTGGGAGCCAGTCGGTGTGTCGCTCATTCGCTACCAAGAACTAGTTTGATCATAATAAGGTTCCCCAGGAAGCTTCCCGCCCCAGAGACCCTTCATCCCACACCGCTCCTCAAGGTTTTTTCTTACTGCTCTTATTGAGGGAGCCCTTTGTCCTTGATCCCCTGAACCAGAGGCACCTAGCTGCACATGTAGAGGTAGTTTGTAAGAATAGGGAATGAGAACAGTGATGGGACCTATACATGGTAGTAAAAGAACGTCGGAATCGGTATACTTAAAGACTTAAAGAGCAAGAACTCGAAGATCAACATGATCGGCTATTGCCCCGTTTCTCCCCGCAGGATGATGGGCTGCAGGAAATGCTTTACAAACTGTTTCGGAGAGTGCCGGGCATGGGTAACCCCACACCAAAGAACACTACTCTCGGAATCCGTTCCTCATTCCTGACGAAGCATCTGGGGATTGTTTGCAGGACAGTTGTGTGGGCGTGGCTGCTGATGAGCCCGCGGCTGAGCCACGAACCTCCAGCAGACCATTCCCGTTTAGGATGGGGGGGGGTTGCAAGGGTCTAGGGTTTATAGTAGTTTGTAGAAGGTTTAAAATTGTAGTTTATAGTAGTCTATAGAAGTTTATATAGTAGCTTATAGAAGTTTATAGAAGTTTATAGGTTTTTGGAGCCAGTCCAAGGAGTGACTGGCTCTGGGGATGCAAGGTGTATCGTGGCAACCCTAAACCGGTAGCTCGCGGTTTTGAGGGAGACCCTGCTCTGCCTTATCAGCCCTTGGCCCTATAGATCCTAAACCCCTAAGCCCCTAAAATCCTAAACTGCGAAACGCCGAGATCTCCACCACGCAGCCTTAAACGCAAGGTCTCATCATCTACGTCTTCGGCCTTGTGTTCTACCGGGCGCTGAAGACTGACATGTGCCCCGGAGGCCGGGGGCCCGCTTTGGTTTTTAGGGTTTAGGGCTCTTTAGGCCCAAAATGGCTAGCCTGAGGAGTGTTTCGGGTTCAGGGTTTAGGGTTCAGGGTTCAGGTACTGCAAGGATGCACTCGTAGATCAGTATTAAAGATGGGGGCGCCGTCTTGCTTCGCTGCACCGCGAACCCTTTGCAGACTTGATGTGTGCTCGAAGCCCCAAGCCCTTAATCCTAATCTTTAAACTAAGAACTCAGTGGAAAAGGCATTCTGTAAAATCGCTTTCAGATTGATAGCCTGAACTCTCAACCCTTAGCCCGCATCCCTCAGACCTGGGTATGAGGGTGTCAGGCTTTAGGGTTTAGGATTTACATACAGGAGCCCGAAGGGAACCCTAAACCCTAAACCCGAAACGCTGAATCCTCTCTGCTTGGCGAGGCGTGGGGGCGGATGATCCCGACCTGCAAGTCTACTTCGGGAGTTTGGGGAGTTCCCTGCAGGGTCCTCGGGGAGGAGGGAGAGTGTTGAGGGTTGATAATGGGGTTTAGGGTTTATAGGGTTTGGGGCTTGTAGGGTTTAGAGTGTATAGGGTTCGCTGTTTATAGGGTTTAGGCTTCATAGGGTTTTGGGTTTAGGGCTTATGGGGTTTGTGACTTGTAGGGCTTCGGATTCTCTGTCCAATTTGGTCCTGACTCAGGATTAGAACCCCTGCCCTCTTCCCCTTACCCCTCCTTTTCGAGGTCCTCACGATTCTGGAGGTTTAGACTCCCTAAACCCTAAACCCTAAACCCTCTTTAGAGTTTTAGAGTCTTTGACCTATAGGGTTTTGGCTCCAGGCTGCAGGACGTGTGAGGTTTCAGTTGCGAAGCATCCGACGTTCCGAAACCTAAGGGAAGTCATCAAGCCATCAGCCCTAAAACGCAAGCCCTCAAGCCTAATCCCTAAACCACCCATCCCAAAACCCGATTCCCGATTCCCTAAACCCTAAACCCTAAACCCTAAACCCTAAACCCTAAACCCTAAACCCTAAACCCTAAAGCCTAAACCCTAAACCCCTTATCCCCCAAACCCTGAACTCTGCGCAGCACCCGTGAGCCACGCTCAGGGCCACCGTCTTCCAGATAACGACGCTGGAGGACACGCGAAAGACGCCGCCTTCCTCCCCTCCCCCTTGGGTGTTGTAGGGTTTAGGGTTTAGGGTTTGGGGTTTAGGGTTTAGGGTTTAGGGTTTAGGGTTTATTGTTTGGGGTGTCGGGTTTCGGGTTTTCGGGTTTCGGGTTAGCTCGCAGCCCTTCTGGGGGCTTGAGTCTGTTGCCCTGAGCTTAGGGCCTAGTTTGCAGAATACGTGTTAAAGACCCATGAATCCCATTGCAGACCTAAGCCCCTGTGATCTCCAGGTTCTGAACCTAAACCCTAAACCCTAGATCCTATAGACCCCCTACACCGCATGGCACCTTAGATCTTGATTTTGGCTCGACTCGTGCCGCCCGCACGCGCCCCCTGGTTCAGGACTGGCCGATAGTGACCGAGACCATGATGAAGTCACAGAGGCACCAGGTTCAGGGTTTAGGGTTTAGGGTTTAGGGTTTAGGGTTTAGGGTTTAGGGTTTAGGGTTTAGGGTTTAGTCAGCTGAGACCCCAAAACCTGCCTCCCGAAGCCCGAGTGAAGGCCACCCCGAATACTGGAGCTTTAGACCCCTAAATTTTCAGGGGCCAGAAGTCTGAGAAGGTCAAGGTTCGTGCTGCTGCCCAATGCCCTAAGTTCAGCGCCTTGACCCTCGAAGCCTGAAATCCCGAAAGCCCTTGAATCATGAAACCCTTAGGCTCTACACTCTGAACCCTGAACCTAAACCCTAAACTCTCCGGCCAGTTGGCTACTGGCCCTGGTCATCCTCCTCCTGATGCTGACATCCTACGGTCCGGGCCCCTGGAGTCCTTGAGGCTCAGACCGCAGGTTTTTCGTTGGAGTTCGGGGTTGTCTTCGTTTAGGGTTTAGGGTTTAGGGTTTAGGGTTTAGGGTTTAGGGTTTAGGGTTTAGGGTTTAGGGTTCAGGGTTTAGGGTTTAGGGTTTAGGGTTTAGGGTTTCGTGGGAGGCTGGCTCACAAAGTGGCCATAGAAGCCTAGGACCGCACATTCATGTAGTACGAAATAGGGGTATGAGGCTCCCTCTCTGGGGTCACGCAAACGAGTTATGTGGCCGAGGCAGCGATCTGAGCAAACAGGAACTGGCCAAGCAAAGCGATGCGACATCAAGATACAAGCTACTCCAGCTGCCACTTCTGTGACTCGTGGTCCCAAGTCTCATGCAGGCTTTGGATACTGAACCCGTCGTTTAGTGGTTTGGGGCAGTGTAGGGCTTGGGGGCTTGAGCGTACGGCCCATTTTAGGAGAAGTTGTCCCGGAGACCGCGTGTCCTAGACAGGGAGCCACGTCTTCAAAACTGAGATTTGGAGCTTCTACTTGTGCGCATGGACGCTTCCCCCCAAAACACCCCCTACAACCCCCCCAACCCCCCCTCACCAAACCCCCCTAAACCCCCCCCCCCCCCCCCCCCCCCGAAACTCCTTCAACTCCCCTAAACTCCCCAAACCCGTAAACCCGCCAAGGTGTCATGAACGTGACTGTGGCCATCTTTGTCAACAGCGCAATGGATGTGCAGAGCTCGTTTTAGGGCTCGATAAACAAAAATAATGAGCGGACGAGTATGAAGTCGGTTATTACATGCTTAATGAATTAAATAGCTGTCGTCTATATTGTATTATATTATATTATATTATATCATATGTTTATAGTATATTATATATTATATATTATATATTATATATTATATATTATATATTATATATTGTATATTATATATTATATATTATATATCATATATTATATATTATATATTATATATTATATATTATATATGATATATTATATATTATATATTATATTATATTATATTATATTATTATTATTATTATTATTATTATTATTTATTATTATTATTCTTATTATTATTATTATTATTATTATTATTATTATTATTATTATTATTATTATTATTATTATTATTATTATTATTATTATTATATATTATATATTATATATTATATATTATATATTATATATTATATTATATTGCATTTTATTTTATCCTTGATATTATGTAATATCATGATATATGATAATTTTATACACAAACAGAGTAGTAAAACAAAAAGGCAGCGCAGTGTCGATGGCAGTGTATATGCACCCACACACACACACACACTTGTTGTGTTGCATTGTCTTGGTTGGTGCGTGAGTTCGGCTTTGCTAGACCACGAGCGGAGCCCTGGGGAATGCATCAGAAGAAGAAGTTCACGCCCACGAGCACGGCACAGAGCAAATCCCTCATCCCTGCCGTGTCATCGACTCCCTGGCAACCTAATCATTATAGCCCTGACCCCTAAATCCTTAAAAACCCCAAGCCCTAAGCCTGTAACCCCCAACCCTGAACCCTGTGAAGCCGCTTTTTCAACCATAAGCCGCGAGCCCTCAACACAAGGATCCCAACGGCTACGACCCAGAGGCTTAACATCCATGAAAAACGCTCTGAACATCCTAAAAACCCTCAGAAACCCTTACAAAAGTATTAAAACGACCATGGAAGCCCTAATGAAACCCTTTGGGGCGCTGAGGCGTCATCAGTGCGGTCTCGCGACCTTGCCAAGAAGGCGAAGGACCAAACAGACGCCAGCGCATTTCAGAAGTAAGGGCTTGAGGGTTGGGGTTTAACAAGGGAACGAGCGTTTTGAAGGTCTTAGAGAGGAGTATATAGACACTAGGCTTCTAGGCTGAGGGCTTCGGGTAATTCGGAATGTAGGGTTTGAGGGTTCATGGCTTAATGGGTTGAGGGCTACCCTGAACCCTACCCTAAACCCTAAACCCTAAACCCTAAACCCTAAACCCTAAACCCTAAACCCTTGTAAGTCTTCGACCCTGGCTCCCGGGGCCCGAGCGCAGGAAGAATACGAGACCACCGTCAAAGCGTTATACGAGGCGATGGGGCTCGACTTCGTTCTTCGATTGTTAGTTATCTATCTATCGATGTTTATATATATATATATATATTATATAATATTCCTATATATATATCCATACATATATATATATATATATGTATGCGTATCATGCACATACATGTGGGACTTCATGTAGGGCTTTAGTTAGGAGCCTTGCGGGCTTCAATTAGAGAGTTTGGGCTGGGTGTTTTTTTTTGTGCAGTTCAGCTGGGAGTTGTGGGAGGTAGATCTTTGAGCATCCGGTTCAGAAGCCCAGAGGCCGGGGCCGCATAAGACTGCCTTCTTTAGTCATCTTGCGCTTGATTGGTGCTTGTAGTGTACCGTACCCTAGAAGCCCTAAAATAGTCTGTCCATCCCTCCACCGGTCCCTTCTTCAAAATAGGGGGGAAAATGGCGGGTGAATCTAAAAAGCGGCTCTTGCCAACAGCTGTTCCACAAAGCTGGGGAAGTTTTAATGCCATGGGGCCCCGAGAAGCTTTCGTACTTACGTGACCAAGTAGCCTCGGCGTTGGGTTTCTTGTCCGCCGTGTCTGTCTGGGTCTGTTTATCTTCCCGCCTACGCATATGGTGGTTATATATGCATTTATGTTTATATGCACACCCATTTCCATGCATGTGATTTTGTATGGACGTACGTGACTGTATCAGGCTTTTTGATGAACAACTCAGCGCGTGTAGACACATGTTTCTTGCTTGCATGCTTGCATGCATCCACACGTCGGTGGTTGTCAAGGTTATGGTCCCTTTTTGGCTCCCTATTATCATACGGCACCGAATGTTTAGGGTACCCCAAAAGGGGTCATCATTTTGACAACCACATGTATGTGAATTGTTCTTCATACCATACTCCGGTATCGGAGGGCTGCGAAGGAACTCACCTCTGCGGCCTTGCTCAGGTCTTCCACGAAGCAGATAGCGACGGAAATGGCACGCTGTCCAAGGACGAGTTTCAGAAGGCAGCCAGGGAAAGCGCAACCCAAAATCCCAAAATTCCAAATCCCAACCTCTAAAGCCTCAACCCGGGTTTTTAGGGCTTCGCGTCCGCATCACATTGGGGCCAATGGAATCCGGAAGAGTCGAGCCCTTGATTCTTACGGGCCTTGTAGGGATCTCCAGTGTAGTCAAGAGAGGGTTTTATAGGGTTCAGGGTGCTCCCTTACCGTTCCAGCGCAGGATACACTGCCAAAACAGGCCCGTGATTTAGAACAGACTTACCTCCGCCCGAATCCTGGACCCATGTTCCACCCTAAACCCTAAACCCTAAACCCTAAACCCTAAACCCTAAACCCTAAACCCTCAGTTCCAAGGCACTGGAGGAGAAGGACCTCCTGCGCCGGCTCCACGGAGCAGGGATCGATGCGCCGGGCAACCCAGGGGGCTTTAGGGGGCTTTGGGGTTTAGGGTTTAGAGTTTAGGGCTAGGGTTTAGGGTTTAGGGTTTCGGGTTTAGAGTTTAGAGTTTAGGCGTTGAAGATGTTTAGTGTCGCGGTCGCCTTCGCCTGGCGATGTTGCCGGATTCTTGGGCATGCGGCATGCTGCTGTTTTAACACAGTTATCACGCGGAGGGAGTCGGAGTCCATCCCCAGGTGACATAGGCCTGAAGGGTTTAGTTTTGTTTAGGGTTTAGGGTTTAGGGTTTAGGGTTTAGGGTTCAGGGTTCAGGGTTCAGGGTTTAGGGTTTAAGGGGCTTCAAAGGACTTGATTGTGTAGTCGTGCCTGCGGCTCGAGTAGTTGAGTAGTTACGTCATTCTTCCTGCCGGTGTTGTTCGGACTTTAGGGGCTCAGGGTTTGGCGGGCGTTGGCTTAGTTCTAGTTCCATTGCACGGATTCGGGATGCTGATGGCTTCCAGGGCTAGCTTGGGTCTTTGTTTCTTTTGCTCTTTGCTTGCGCATCCATCTAAGCGGGTTGACGCGAGAAGCCGCAGACCTTCCCGTTCAGCAAAAACCCAACACAGTCCTGTATAGCCCAAAGTTTAGAGTCCAGAGTTTAGGGCTTCACTGATTCCTGAACCTCAAAACTCTACGGCAAAGATCCGGGATGTTTTGCCTTTACGGTTCTCAATTGCTTCTGAGCATGTCCGGCTAGTCCTGAGAGGCCTGCTGGGCCTTCGGGTGCCTTTCTGCCCTACCTCCCTTCATGTTGGCTGGGTCAACTGGATGTTAGGTGGCCCGTGTCTCAAGATTCACTCTATTGAGGTTAAGGGTAAACCCCATAAGCTGTCTAGACCCTAAGCCGGGCCTATACCCTATAGACCCGAAATCCAAAACCTTGCCAGCCCAGGACTAGCGCCTCATCCCTTTTTGATATCCTCGACATCGATGCCAACGGGACGCTTGATGGCCGGGTTCTGTGACGTTTGAGCCGCTTTGTGTGTGGAACCTCTGCTCCCAAAGTCCTGTGGACTGTATCATGTTTAGAGTTGATCCCCGCCCTGCGGCCGATCTGGAGCCACCCCCCCCAAGCCCAAAACCCTGAGGTGCAGACAGACAGAGGTCGTTTCCAACGGCACCTCATTGAAACAAGTAGACTCAGCTGGTGAGGCAACGAGTTTGTCGAGGGCGTCTTGCGATCACGCGGCAATGCCCAGAACAAGGCCGGATGGGGAGGCAGCCCTTGGTTAAACAAGTTCTCCTCCCCAAAATTTAACACCACCCACAGAAGGGCCCCTGTAAGAATGGTTTGTATTCTACATCTGGGTTTGTTTTGCAAGGCATACTTTTTTGGGTTGGTGGTCTCTTTAAGTAGGGTTTTTGTTCTATCGGGGCATTCTATTCGGGGTTCTTATTGGGGTATCTAGGGGCTACATGAAGGCATAAGGGTAGCAGATAAAGAGACCACCGGCCTTTATATGGCATATTCATGCTCTTGGGCCTACGTAGGGGATGTAGTCTAGCTGATCTTAGGACATACAGTCTCGGCAAGCCAGGACATTGTAGCGATTCAGGAATAGGGTGCAGCGTTTCGGGTTTCGGGTTTCCTGTGTGAGGGAACTCCAGGCAGGCGAGCCCCCTCCCACGTAAGCCCATAGACCCCAAAAGCCAACGCAACCTACCCTAGACCCTACATCCCACACCCTAAACCCTAAACTCTAAACCCTAAACCCTAACTCCTGCAAAGCCTGTTCCTTTCAGGACCTGGTGGGGCTCAGGTGCGACGTTTGGCGGGCGAACCTTTCCGTTGGAGCCCAAGCCAGCCAACAGCCAGAAGCACCTAATTTAGGGGCCTTAATAATTAGAATAGGGTTTTGGGGGGGTTGTTATTGTACATTCATCAAGGGACACATTATGGTAAACCCTAATTTTTCTGTTTTTCTGGAGGCTACGGGCGCACTGCATGTGGGGTGTGCTTAAGGGGTGACATGACACCAAAGCCTTCAAACCTCTCGAAATTCCGCATGCAGTTCACGGTGTAGGGGTTAGACGCCCTCAGGCCCTGTAATTCAGGCCCTAAACCCTAAACCCTAAACCCTAAACCCTAGACCCTAAACCCTAAACCCTAAACCCTAAACCCTAAACAACTTGGTACCCTTTGTCCGAATGCTCTGAACCCAGGTGAACGAGGAGATCCGGCACGTCAGTATCTACTTCGAGGAGCATCCATCCCCATACCTTTAAGGGTTTAGGGTTTAGGGTTTAGGGTTTAGGGTCTACGGGTTTAGGGCTTTAGGGGGGCCTATGCATGTATGGTGATTGGCATAGGGATTTCTGGAGTTATAGGGTTTATAGGGTTTGCAGCATGTGCAGGGCTTGCTAGTGTTTACAGGGCTTATAGGGTCTACAGTTTTAGGCGTTACAGGGCTTATAGGGTGTACAGAGCTCATATAGGGCAGATGGTGCTTACAGGGGGTACGTACACGGTTTTGGTTTTGGGGTTGTTGGAGTCGGAGAACGTGTTTGTGGGTTTCGCTCTTGTATGTTTATGCAGGGACTCTACGGAAGATGTGCAATGCTTCAGGCTCTTGTGCTACCATGAAGGTACTTTGAAGGGCGCGCCGTGCAGCGCAGTGCAAGAACCAAGCAACGCCGCCGCGAATTCAATGCATGCACCACAATTATTTTGCTTCTGGTTGGGCACTCCAGGGACTGGGGCCTTGAATCTCAATACACTGAACCCCAGTTTAGGGTTCAGGGTTTCGGGTGTAGCTTTCCATACATGGGCGATGATAGGGTCCCGTGTTTGGCTGAGCCCCAAACCCTGAAAAGTTCCGCTCTCCACCGGAAGTTCTTTCAGGAGCGGCTCCAGGCCACTGTACTCAAGCTGAAGACCTTGTCAGAGGCCTTTAGGGTTTAGGGCTTTGAGTTTAGGGTTTCGGGCCTGGGGGTTTAGGATTGAGGGTTTAGGGTTGCGGGTTTGGGGGTTTAGGGTTTAGGGTTACTGAAGGCCGTGAGCACCAAATGCTCCGTTGCCTTGGCCCGTTAGCATTGAAAAAACCCCGGCACATCCGCCATAAAACCCGAAGCCCTAGATACCCGAACCCTAAACCCTAAACCTTTAAACCCTAAACCCGAAACCCCCAAAAACCCAAGTGCCTGGCCCATGGAAGCCGACCTCCGAGGTTCAGGTTTAAGGTCTGCGAGGATCGCCCTTGGGATGTCTAGCTCCCCAACAACATCCACACTAGGGTCAGAGTCATAGAGGCACAAAAGCAGACTTTCGTGCCCGTGTTCGGGTAGGTGAAGCCGGGTTCGAGGTGGGGAAACAGTTTTTTTGCTTGTTGATGGGAACCTTGCAGAACATGAGAAGCTGCAAGCTCTTAAGCCCGTAGGCCCTCAAAGCCCACTACGCACTTACAAGGCACATCCCGGAACCCTAGGCCTAGCTTTTGAATGTCTCCATGCAGCCCTGACAAGCTTTGACTCAGAATCATGCCATGGAGAGCCCCTAAACCCTAAACCCCAAACCCCAAACCCCAAACCCCAAACCCCAAACCCTAAACCCTAAACCCTAAACCCTAAACCCTAAACCCTAAACCCTAAACCCTAAACCCTAAACCCTAAACCCTAAACCCTAAACCCACCCAGGTGGTTCTAAGTCTAGACCTTGGTACCCAGAGTTTGAATGTATCTCAGGATGAATAGGGAAACCCTCCGCCCGCCCCCTCCCCCCTCCAACCACCCGCCACCCCCCCAAAACCCTAAACCCTAAACCTAAACCCTACACCCTACACCCTGAACCCTGAACCCTGAACCCTGAACCCTGAACCCTGAACCCCAAGCCCCAAACCCTAAACGCAGCAAAATCCAGATTCGCGCTCTTGTAAATAGGTTGCAGCTCCCATCCTTCGACGTGCGGCAGAGGAGAGCCCGGAGTCGGCATATATGCATATGTATATATATATACACGTACCTATACCTAATACCTAATACCTAAGACCTCATGCCTAATACCTAATACCTAATGCCCAATACCTAATGCCTAATACCTAATACCTAATACCTACTACCGAATACCTAATGCCTAATACCTAATACCTAATACCTATACCTATCTTTCTATATATACTTCAGAAAAATGGGGGGGGGGGGGGGGGGGGGGGGGGGGCACAGGGATTCTTAGGGCTTAGAGTTTAGATCTGCGATCTCAATTGCCGCAAACCCTCTGTGCGGGGCAGGATGGCATCGGCGAGCTCTGAAGTCCTTAACTCCGAGGTTAGGCTTGGGTTTTAGGGTTTAGGGTTTTAGGGTTTTAGGGTTTTGGGGTTTAGGGTTTTAGGGTTTAGGGTTTAGGGTTTTAGGGTTTAGGGTTTTAGGGTTTTGGGGTTTAGGGTTTTAGGGTTTTAGGGTTTAGGGTTTAGGGTTTTAGGGTTTAGGGTTTTAGGGTTTTGGGGTTTAGGGTTTTAGGGTTTTAGGGTTTAGGGTTTAGGGTTTTAGGGTTTAAGGTTTTAGGGTTGGAGGGTTGGAGGGTTGGAGGGTTTAGGCTTGTAGGGCTTAGGGCTTTTAGGGTAAGAAGACACAAAACAGAAAGCCACCTGACCCGGACGGCCCTGAAACCTCAATGAGTTAAGAGACCGCACGCCCTAAACCTTAAACCCTAAACCCTAAACCCTAAACCCTATAAACCGTAAACCCTAAACCCTAAGCCCAAAATCCTAAACCCAAAACCCAAAACCTTAAACCCCCAAACCTGAACGCCGGCAGCTTGGTGGAGGAGCTGCAGGGTTCTAACAGCAAGGCATCAGCCCCAGTGCCTGGGGGGCTTTGGGGGCTTTTGGGGGCTTTAGCCCCGAAATCCTTTGGATTTTAGGGTTTAGGGTTTAGGGTTTAGGGTAAGCCAGCGACGCAGAGTCCCAAGCCCAAGAAGGGCCTACACACCCGATAGCACCCCCTTATGTCATCAAACCCCAAACCCCAAACCCCGAACCCCAAACCCTAAACCCCAAACCCTAAACCCTATAAACCCCAAACCCTAAACCCTATAAACCCTAAACCCTGAAGCACCCCAAGGGTGGCTCACCTTCGTCATCCTGCGGTTTCAAGACTGCGCTCGGGGTATCTGCGGAACAACCCACCGCGGAGGACGCTCGGTGATGGCTGGTTTCGGGGTGCAGGGTTTAGGGTTTAGGGTTTAAGGTTTAGGGTTTAGGGTTTACGGTTGAGGATCTGGGGCTTAGGCTTTAGGGTTTAGGGTTTAAGGTTTAGGGTTTGGGGCTTTGTGGTGTGGGGTTTGGTGATTTAGGGTTTGGGGTCTGGTGGTTTAGGGTTTGGGGTTTGGGGGTTTAGGGTTCAGGGACAGCTTGCAGGGGCCCACACAGTCATTGTGCAGGGTTGCAATGCAGGGGCCTAAATAGTGATCATGGTTCCCAACTCATCGCCCCTATTTAAACTGTAGTATCTACCCTATGCCCGAAACCCTAAACCCCAGACTCTCCTCGACCCTGGCGCCTGGGCCCTAAAGCCAAAACTCACATCACCTTAGGAAGCACTAAACCCTCAATCCCTGAACCCTAAACCCTAAACCCTGAACCCGGAACCCTAAGCCCTCTACATTAGGCTCGTAGGTTTGTTCTTCTTTTGGGATGGCCGGGGTGAGTGTGGGGTCTGGGACTCGCAGGTCGCTGCCAGCTTTCTGGGCTTGTTAGGGTTTAGGGTTTAGGGTTTAGGGTTTAGGGTTTAGGGTTTAGGGTTTAGGGTTTAGGGTTTAGGGTTTAGGGTTTAGGGTTTAGGGTTTCGGTTTAGGGTTTAGGGTTTAGGGTTTAGGGTTTAGGGTTTAGGGTTTAGGGTTTAGGGTTTAGGGTTTAGGGTTTCGGTTTAGGGTTTAGGGTTTAGGGTCTAGGGTCTAGGGTCTAGGGTCTAGGGTTTAGGGTCTAGCGTTTAGGTAGGTTCAAGGTTTCTCGAGTTAGCTTACTTTTGCTGAGATAAGTTTACATGTCGGCAATTGATGATCGCCAACTTGCAAATGTGGATGTGTTGAGAGCTTAACCCCTGCAGTGAAGTCAGTAGTTGGAGGTAATTTGTGTGACTTTTTTGCCATGCTCAGGATTTGCTTACTGTCCGAACCACATTCACTTGATTCTTGTTATTCTAGTTCATCCAGGCATGCTCAATGCATTCGCTTCAAGACTGCATTGTAGCCTGCAGCCCCAGGTCGGGATCTACCTAGGCAGCAAGCAAGACACTCCCGAAATGATAAAACAAAAAACTGACCGAGTACCCAAACCCTAAACCCTGGATCCTGGACCCCGGGCCCTGATCAGGGTTCCCAAATCCATGAGTCTCGGGTGGCATGGTCAGGGCTCCACAACAATTCCAGCGTTGCACCTTCAACCTGTGCCACTAAGGACGAAAGCCAGGACGCTACGCACTCTGCTGTGTTGCCGTTTCGAGGAGCACCCTCGGATGAATTCGGAACCTAGCGGTGCATCAGCGACTGATGCTTTCGGAGCTGTAGCTGCACTTTAGAGGGCCTTAAGAGCACCTAAGCACAGGGACCAGGGTTTGTAGCAACCCATAGGGTTGAGGCTCATTAGGGTTTAAGGGTTAGGGTTTAGGGCTGAAGGTTTTGGGGAGAACTCCTTGTCCCAACTTGTGCTTGGAGCCTGCAGCTTGGTAGTCCCAAGCGAGTTGCTTCGCACCTGCTCCAGTGGCACATGTGCGCTTTATACTACCAGTTACCAGTAATTTAGCGAAGGAAGGACTATTCTTCTTGCTCCTGGCTTCTGCTAAGCAGAAGCCGTTTCTCGAGTACGGCGGAATGAACGAAGCGTTCTCACTGCGCTCCAGTGGGATGTTGCACAGAAAGTTCCATCTTCAACCTGAAGACCCAAACTTCAACCTGAAGACCCAAACACTCATGCCCAATGAATCGGATGGTCGTACTCGCCTAAGCCATCGCAGCGAATTGCGAGCTCTCTGGACATGGAGAGCTGCGTTTAACCGCTGGTTTGGGCGACGCTGCAAACAACTACGTAGACCTCAGTAAGCCAAAGGCAGTTGAGCAAAGTGTTTGCAGAAAAGGTGCGATGTTTGCAGCTCGGAGGTATCTCCATGTGCTAACATGTGCTTGTGCGCCACAATTGAGTACATCTGCTTTCGCTTGTGTCTTCACACCCTCACATGCCATCCTGGCGATGCTTCCGAGCAGCCATCATGAGACAAACAGGTAGATGGTCCCCATTTCTACTAAAACCTAAACCCTAAACCCTAAACCCTAAACGCTAAACCCTAAACCCTAAACCCTGCACCCCGCAAGGCTCTTGGCAACCTCTATGAGTACTTCCTGAAACGCAACGGGCGGAGGCCAGGCTCCTCCGTAATGCAGCAGTTTGCTCCTTCGACTCCTCGGGCCCCCTATCCCCAATCCCCACCCTCAGCAACCGGTTTAGGGTTTAGGGTTTAGGGTTTAGGGTAAATTCCTATTGTGTATTGTCAGGCCTCTGGCCCCCCCCCCCCCCCCCCCCCCCCCCCCCGGATCCGATTCATATGTGTTCAAGAATTCCGGGCCTTAGGGTTTCCGAAAGGCCGGGCCTTTGAATCTTCAATGCAGCCTTCCTTCAGAAAAAAAATAACCATCCCAAACTGAGCCGAAACCAAGGACTCCCTCTTTGAAAAGACCAGATAAACAAATTGCCCCGATACCCTAAACCCTAAACCCTAAACCCTAAACCCTAAACCCTAATCACTCCCCTGGCCTCTTGTCTTAAAGGGCGACGGACCGCAATCCCTTCTGAGGTGCTGGCCCTCAACCCCGCAGGCTGTTTCTAGTGTTCCCCCCCACACACACACACACACACACACACACGCGACCAAAGCACACAGAATGTATGCATGTGCATATACATATACATATATATATACATATATCTGTGTGTGTGCTATGTATCGGTCAGCATTTACGTTAATATTAATATGTGCAACTGAAGTCCATGTTGTGAGTGCTAAACACCTTTACTTCAACCTCCTACACCAAGAATCCAGCTGCAAGCCTATTCCTTATGCCGAAACAGTACACTCCATGAACCCTGAACCCTAAACCCGAGTGGCTTGGATAGGTTGACTGTGCTTGGAGCCACCAGTGGAGACACGGGTGGGGCCGCCATCTACGGGATGCGAGGGAAGGCCACGTGGGGCTGAGGGTGTAGGTTTAGGGTTTCAGGTAAGGAGGGAGGAAGGGAGTGATAGAGAGAGAGACAGAGAGACATACACAGAGACAGGGACAGAAACAGAAACAGGCGCAGACGCTGAGAGAGCCAGAGCGAGATGTCTCTGGTTGTGTGGGGGATGTATGCGTTTGGGTTTTGGGTTTCGTTCTGTACTGAGTACTTACAGATCAGGATGCTCACTTTAGCACATTGCGTATTCGATGGGGAGGATTGGGCGCAGCATGTGTGGTTTTACGACTGCCGAGCTTCAAGAGTGTAGAGAGAGATTTGTAATTAATGTCCATAGATGGAACTGCCTTCGCCATGAATTGTCACCTGTTTTCACAGTCATCAACAGCCCCTGAAACATTAACCCTAAATCCGAGTTACGCCCGAACTCTAAACCCTGATAAACCTGAAACCTACATCCTAAACCCTGGCTAGACCCTGAAGCTGCCCAAGCTTCAACGCCACAGTCCAGACCCTCAACATCCTTAGCGCAGGAGCTTCAGTGTCAAAGCAGAACAACCTCAAAACCAATGCAAACCTCTGAGCCCAGAAGATACTAAAGCCACCGAACCTAGAATTCTCTAAATTCTTGGGCAGGAAAATGTGGAGTGTTTCATTCTCTTCCCGGAAGGGCGTGCGCGGAACTGAGGCTTTCCAGACCCTCACTGTAGGGCACACCCCGTGAGTTCTGGATGTCGCGGTTGACTGTCCAGGTGTTCTAAATCCTAAACCCAATTAAAAACCCTACACGCTATGCCCTGCAGAGAAGGTAGCAAAACCATAAACCCTACCCCTAAACCCTAAACCCTAAACCCTAAAACCCCTGGGCATCCGAAAGAAGTGTCCCCGGGCATAGGCGCAGAGCCCTGGAGCTGGAGCTCTGAATCAGTAAGCCCTCAAACCCTAAACCCTAAACCCTAAACCCTAAACCCTAAACCCTAAACCCTAAACCCTAAACCCTAACCCTAAACCCCTAAACCCCTAAACCCTAAACCCTAAACCCGAATAACCCTAAACCCTAATAACCCTAATAACCCTAACAACCCCTGAATCCTGAACCCTCAGCCCGGGCCCCTAACCCAAAGTAACAAGGGCAGATCTTCCGGCTTCCGCGTCACTATGCCACACAAACCCTCTAGCACCCTTGAGCCCTACCCTAAATGCTTCGAATCCTCAGCCCTAAACCCCAAGCCCTAAAACCTAAACACTAAACCCTAAACCCTATAACTCTAAGCCCTAAACCCTTTAAACTCTAAACCTTCCCTCCCAAGCCTGCTGAGACTAAGGTCTCTCACATCCAGCAGCAGCAGATGACCAGCGTGATGGCGCGCTTGCTTGCAGGGTCTGAAGGTGTTTCGGGGCTTGGGGGGTGTAGCTATAGGGGTCGGAATACTTACTAATAACATGCCCTAATGGTTCCTTTTTGTAATTATACCATCATAACCCCCCAAGACCGTATTCTAATTTATTCAGGCCCCTAGATTAGCTAAGGCTTAGGGTAGTGTTTCCCACTTTGCAAGCGTTCCCTTAAGACGTGATGATGCTTAGAATAACAGGTATTTACCGGTTCAACCACTACGAAGCCCTGCTTCTGTGGTTTTGGGGTTGAAGGTTGAGGGCGTAGTGCATGCTGTCTTTGTCTCTAACCTTGACCCCGAACTTAGAGCAACCTGCATATGCCGCAGGACGACAATGTCCACTGCGTGGCCATCAAAGGCACCTTTGACGACTGCCAAGATATCGTAAAGGACCCTGCATGCCCTTACCTTGGGCTCTCGGGGTTGTAGGGTTTATGGGATCCAGTGTTCCGGATTTAGGGTTAGAGTTTAGGGATGTAGGGTTCAGGGTTTAAAGCGGACTTCAAGGCTTCTGCTATCTGGACTTTTTAAGATTAGGGTTGAGGGTCGAGGTGTCTGGAAGCAGTCGTGCAATCTGGCACAATTCGGTCGTGTCTTGCTACGGAAGGCGATGCCTTCAAGAGTCTTGCTTTGCTTGACTATGTGGCTGGGGAATTGCGTCGGTACCTATTCACGACCTCATCCCGGCAGCCCATAGTCTTCCTCCCTCCGCAACCCTAACCTTCAAGCCCAAACCCGAAACCTTAAACCCCTGAATCCCTAAACCCTAGCCCTAAACCCTAGCCCTAAACCCTAAACCACTGCAGCCCCAAAAGCCCCTGACCAAGAGCCCGATCCGTGACCTCGACGGAGCCCTCACAGCTGTCGGCACCCGAAGCACACTGCGGCTCAAGATCGAGTCCTAGATGCCATGGAAGAGGACGAGGTGCGAGCAGATCGCCGGGGTCATGTCCGTGGTCGACTTGGCAACTTCTGTGTTTGGGAGGTTTGTACAGGTTTCAGGGGCATAAGCTGTGCGGCTGACGCGAGCTTCCGTCATAGGAAGCCTTTGCCATTGGGTCCCAAGGACGTCGTAAGATCCTGAGAAGGATGAGGCTCGTCAGCCAACCTCTGAGCCCTTCAAGCCCCAGAATCCCACAACCCCCCTATTGACCTGGTCAGGGAAGCCCAGACCCTGGCCTTCAGGTTCTATAGTCAGGGCCGACTCATTCATAAATGTCATAAGGTTCACTTCATATCTAGAATCCCCTTCTTCGTACTTAGACACCTGTGAACTTTTGCGGCCAGAGTAGGGCTGGTACACAGAGCTCGAGTAGGAGGTCAGCCACCAAGGAACTACAGCCACTTTCCAGCTCCTCGGCCCGGAAGGCTTTTGCAAATAATTACGTCCTGCGAATCGGAGCGCGCAATTTGGGGGGGAACATCTCTGGGCGGTTTCAAAAAATAGGGAAGCCGATTTTGGGGTGTTCAATCGGAGGTATCGCAGCAATATCTTTTGGGTGCATAAAAGGGGACTGCCTGGAGGATCCTGCATGGTGCGCCGAGCCTGCAAATAGCAGGCCCAAGTCCCTGAATGAGGACCCGTTTAATGCGACTTGGCCATATTCTTTGACGCGGGTGTGGTGTAGGGTTTAGGGTTTCTTCTGGTGCAGCTTTTCAGGATGTACTTGAGGCGTTAGGCGAGGATCGTCAAGGCTCTTGGATTCCAGATTCGCGGTGATTGGGTTGTTGGGCTTTAACTTGAGCTTCGGTTAAATTAGGGCTTCTTAGGGTTCAGGCGTTTCAGAGGTGTGATGCTCCTTTGGGATTTCAGGGCCATGGGCTTTGGGTGTTGAGCGGATCTTGTGACGATTTAGGGGGGGGGGGGGGGGTTTCGCCCCAATCCCTGAACCCCACCCACTTATACGACATCACTTTTCGTGGCTTTGTGACAACCCCAAGCCCTCAAACCTGCTGGGCCGAGCAAGCTGGGCCTGCACTCTGCACCCTGCGCCTTGAACTTCATATCAGCAGCCGGAAGCCTTGCAACCCTGAACTTGGGATGTTCCCCCTTATACTAACCACCCTTAACGTGGATTTTAATAGGGGGGGGGGGGGGGTACTATCATCCCTATTAAATTAAGGACTGCTAGTATAAGGGGGGAACATCCCAACCCTGAACCCGAAACCTTGTAAAGCTCTATTGAACACAGATGTCGCAAAGTCGCTTGGAGCCCAGGTTCTTGCAGAGGAGCTGGCCGTAGAAGACTGCAAGATAGGCTTCGAGGTTGCGACCGAACTGCTGGAGACTGTCACTTGGCCACCAAATGTTGGGCTTTGCATTCTCTAATTAACCTCAAAAGCCCTAAACCCCAAACCCTGGTGGGCTCGCAGGGCTTTCGCGTTTGGGCCCTATAGTGCTATGAACCCTAAACGCCCTAAACCCTAAATCCTGAACCCGAAGCCGGTGCATACATTAGGACTTGGTCTTCGCCTCGTGCGGGAGCCTGGTAAAAGGCACCCCCGATGGCGGCTTCGTGGACACCGACGGTCTCTTGAGGCTTGAACCTGAGCGTGGGGTTAGGGCTGAAGGGTTTGGGGTTTCGGCAGGGTGTGGACTTTGGGCTTATGGGTTGGGGGTTTCGGCAGGGTTGTAGAGCTTAGGGCTTGCCCCAGACCCTCGAGACTTCTTCGAAAAAAGTTTCTCTTTCGCCCTGAACCCGCAACCCGAGCCAACCAGAAGCCTTCCCAGAAGCGCGGGCAGGTGGGCAAAAGTGAGTAAAGCCTTGAATCCCCAAAACCCGAAGTTATAAACCCGAAGTTTTGATAAACATCCCTCAACCCTGGAGATGCCAGATTCTCGGCCCATAACCTTAGGGTTTAGGGTTTAAGGGTTTAGGGTTTAGGGTTTAGGGTTTAGGGTTTAGGGTTTGGGGTTTGGGGTTTAGGGTTTATGGTTTAGGGTTTAGGGTGCCTAGACTTCTAGACCCTATGAACCCTACACTGGCCGTATCAGGCTCGAGGGCTTTTGGGTTTTGTTGGTGTGGGGGGCTTTTGGCTGCTCTAGAGGTTCATTGTAGTGTGACCCCTCCGTTCGGGGCACTCCCTCTCGATTGACCGCCTAAGGCTCACCTGCACGTACCGACCCTAGACCCCCAAGAATCCCAAAACCTACACCCTGGGATGTTCCCCCTTATACTAACAGTCCTTAGTAGGGATTCTAGTACCCCCTCTCATCATCCCTCGTCAGGACTGTTTGTATAAGGGGGAACATCCCAACGTACACCCTATAAGCTTGCCTACAAGACAAAAGAGCTGACGCTGAGCCTAAACCGGCGCCTCCTTTCTAAAGGAAAATGGCCCTAAACATATTCCTGTTATATGTAGTATACATATAAACACCTATACCGTCCCTAGTCAACCGGCCTTCCTGGAGGCTGGTTCAGGTCGTGCGTGTGCCCCTCTTGCCGGACATGAACGAAGATGAGGCGCAGCATGATCCCAAACTCCTTCTGAAACCCCTCTGGCAGCTCAGCACAGGCGAGCTCTACTCTGCAGCCTACAGTGTGTCCGCTAAACCCTAAAGTCCTAAAACCTAGAGCCCTACACCCTAAGCCCTTTATGTCTCGCAGACCCGAATCAACCTGTAAATCCCCGCCCAGTCACACCTCGAGCCAAGAAAAGATGTAAACACGACTGGAGCCCATGGGTTGATTGAGATTCAGAGTTAAGTTTCGGGTTTAGGGCTTCTCGGGTTTCGGGTTCCGGCTTATAGGGTTTAGGGTGTAGGGCTCGTAGGGTTTAGGCTTTAGGACGTAGGGTTCATTTAGGACCTAGGGCATAGAGGTTAGGGCTTATAGGGTGGTGGGTTTCGGGCTTGCAGGGTTTAAGGGTACAGGGCTCATAGGGTTTAGGGTTCACGCTGCGAGGTGGCGGATGTACTCTTCGACACCGTGCTTCTTGGATTGGTTATGCTATATCTTATTTAGCTTATCATCTGTTGTATATTTTTGTATATGTATAATATGTATATATATATATATATCCCATTGCATACATGTACGATGTACGTTGTACCGTAGATGTTATATGTCGTTTTCGTGATTTCAGATTATATATGTTAGATGCTAGAAGTACAAGATGTTCTTTGTTGTCTACCACACACTTCCTGCGGTTGGGTGTGGTCAGGCTTTACCCCCCTCCCCCCCCAAAAAAAAAAAATAAACACACACACACAGAGAAAAAATAAAGCAAGAACACAAAACACAAATGAGTAAGGGCCCAACAAGTACTCCCGAATGCGCAAGTCCTACACGGCCCTGCTAAATTGAGCTTCAGATCGCATCGAAGGCTTGCCAAAGTGGTGAAGTCTCAGGCGTGGATGAAGGACCCGCGCGCTCTGTCCCCAAACCTTTGTCATAGTTGGGCAACATTTTATATGTTTCAGGGTACTTAAAACCAATACGGAATAGAACTTTAAACTTTTAATGCTCTCCCAACCCCAAGCCTGGTAGGGTCTTGGACCTCTGGGGGCTTTACGGCACGTTTTGCTGGCGCAATTGTGATTTGATAGCTACTAACTGTTAGTTCATATGTTCGAAGTGTTCAGGTTATTTGCAGAGAATGGGTTGCTAACTACTTATGAATCATTGGAATCGCGTTTGTTGTTTTTTGGTTACGAGTGGCTAGCTCCTTAACCACTAGTTCTGAGTCATTCAGTACTTGAAGCCACTTGCAAGTTCGACTACTTAAAAACTCGATGACTGGAACACTTGCTCTTACGATTGTTGTGGCATTTTCAAAGGCCATTTTATTGCCTGTTTGTTCTTACTAGAGCTTTTACTATAGCCTTTAGTGATACCATGTTTTTTTGCTACTGCTTGTGCAAGTCGTGGTATGATGACTTCTGCCAAGGCTAGTACAGTTGCCCATTTTCTAGTTGCTGTCATTGCTATTCTGTCTATGAGTATCAGTGTGTATTTATGTCTGTCAACGACGAAGACTACTATAATTTGCATGGTAATTCGTTCTTAGTCTTATTGTGATTATTATTCTTATTCCTCTTATTATTCTTCTTCTGACTTTTTTGTACTTCTGTGGCCTGGTGGGCGGCGGGGCATTGCCAGAACGAGCACAAACGATGTGAGCCTGTTAGAATTGTTGCGGAGTGAGGGTTGCCCCGGATCCCAGCGACTACGACCCTTTCGTGTGGATAACCTCGTGCCCCAATGCTAGGCAGCTGTGTTCAGTGCTTACAGAGCTGAAGGCTTATGCTTGGGTTTCTAGTTTGCGTTGTGTGTGTGAGAGATGGCATTCCACGAGGTCACTCTGGGTTCCTATTGAGTTCCCCTACCTTATGTACCACTCTGTCTAAACTCACGTTTGCGGTTTAGGGTTTGAAGTTTAAGGAGTCCTGAATCCCAGAAAAAAGCAGGAGACGGGCACTTTGCCCCATGTCGGGGTCCTCAGTCAGGGTGATCGTTTCAGGCCGCGTACATGGTCTCGCGTATGGTTTCAGCGCTTGGGGTCTTCACCCTAGAGTTGCGGGCTGGTCTCGGGTCTATAGGACGGACAGCCTTGTTTCCTTGTGGGGCATTCGCAGCAAGTAGCCATTGCCCCGCTTTCCTCCTCCTCCTCCTCCAGAGAAGTCGGGATGTTCACGTTGCCCTGCTGTGCGAGCAGCAGCGAAGATTGGAAGTGCCACTTACACTTGGGTTTAGGGTCTTGTCTAGAGTCTAGGGTTCAGGATTCAGGGTTCAGGGTTCAGGGTTCAGGGTTTAGGGTTTAGGGTTTAGGGTTAACCCATCTTTCTAACGGCAGAACAGGGCTTCGAGGGGTTTCGGCCTTTGGGCTGCTTCTTTGGGGGATTGGGGATCCCAAATGATTTGCACTTTATCGTGTCCCAGATGGTTCTCCCCAACGCCGAAGCGACACCCACAATATAGGGGCCTTAAGAATTAGAATGGGGTCTTGGGGGTTATTACAGTATACTTGTGTAGAAACCAGAAGGAAACACCACTTGTAGTTGTTCCGGCCCCTCTAGTAACCCTTTGCACCACATGCACCCGAAACTCTCATCTGGAACGCAGGGCCCTTAGCGTGGCCTTGGTTTCAAGGGATGTAAAGAGATCCGAAGTATTGGCCCGATTTATTTTGTATAGTATAGTGCAATCTACGGGGTATCATATACACAACAGGGGACTCAAATGAAGGGCCCATACTTCGGAGCCCCTGTAAACCCTAACCCTAAACCCTAAACCCTAAACCCTAAACCCTATAAGCTCTAAGCCGCATGAGAAGACGAACCTGACGCCCAGGGACTTGTGCTGCTTTAGGGTTTTGGGGTTATAGGGTTTACAGGGTTCATAGGGTTTATAGGGTTTATAGGGTTTATAGGATTTTTAGGGTTTTTAGGGTTTTTAGGGTTTTTAGGGTTTTTAGGGTTTTTAGGGTTTTTAGGGTTTTTAGGGTTTTTAGGGTTTTAGGGGTTTTAGGGGTTTTTAGGGGTTTTTAGGGGTTTTAGGGGTTTTAGGGTTTTTAGGGTTTTTAGGGGTTTTAGGGGTTTTAGGGTTTTAGGGTTTAGGGTTTACGCCAAGCTGTTGAACATCGACTGCAACGACCGGGTCTAAAATGTAGGATCTGTGGCCAGTTTCTGTCCTTATTCTTGTTCGCCAAAGCCCTTAAAGCCCCCAAGCTCAAAGCCTCGCACCTCCACCGAGGACTTCATAATCTTCTGCTGGCTTCCCCCTGTCGGAGCCTACCAGGTGTGCATCCATTTCTTTTGGGCCTGAGGATTCGGATGTAGACATAAGCCCCAACACACCAAACCTCCTTTTGACAACCTCAAACCCTATAAGAAGCACAGTTCCCTTGAAGCAGCACTGCAAGAAAGCCACGCCCTAAACCCGAAACACAAACCCTAATCCGCAAAGAAGGCAAACACCCAAGCAGTTTCTAGCAGGGACCCGGCTTGACCTTCAATCCAGCGCTTATGGTTTAGGGTTTAGGGTCCTGCTTAGGGTTTTTGGGGGAGTTTCAGTGTCTTGTGTCGGGTTCACCAGGTGGCTTGTCCGCCCTGGGCCCACATACAAACCGGTAACGGCTACCCACGCTTACACGCTTAAGAAAGAGTTAAGGGTTCAGGGCTTAGGGTCAGCTACATAGGACAGGGGGCTACTTCACCTCCGAAATAGGCCACTGCCGCCCAAACCTAGTCCACTAGTCTACCGGCTGTCTGGGGAGCTTCAGGATTTTTTGCTTTTCTCATCACAAGGGAGCCTATTCATACATGCTTTTCACTTGGGTTTCAAGCAACTCAGCTGGCTAGACCTCAACCCTAAACCCCTGTTCTCAATCTTGGCGCGTGAGAGGCATGCCTGACTGAGACTGATGCCCTCTTGTGGACGGAGCCCTCGGCAATGTGGAGGGCGGCTGTAAGAGAGGGAGTTGAGGGCTGGAAGACGAGGGATGTCTTGGCTGAAGACGCAAACAGTAAAACCTTGCATAATTCATTGACCAAGTTTCGCAGTCTACATCCTAGACGATGTGTTTCCATTCTTCGAAGGGGATTGAGAGTGACAGATGAAGGGTTTGGCATGAGGTAGTTTGAGGAATCAGGCTTAGGTCTGGTGAAGTGGCGAATGAAAAGAAAGGAGGAGCCAGAACCCCGCGGCCCTCAAGCCTGAAACCTGAACGCTAAGCCCTAGAGCAAAAGTGGCCCGCGCCCACTTTCTGGGCTCCGCAAGAAGCCCTATAAGCTTAATGATGCCTTGGCCCCGAAGAAAGTGTGCACTGCAGGTGTTGGTTGCCAGCTTGCCCAACCCAAGCCCTGCGAAACCCTACTAAACTATACCCTATAAGTCCTACAAAGCCCGAAGCCCTACACCTAAACCCTACACCCTAAACCCTAAACCCCAAACCCTAAACCCTGAACTCTGAACCCTAAGCCCTAAACCCTATTCGGGGATCCAGGGGCTCAACAGCGACGTTGCAGGAGGCGCTGATCTTTAACGTCCGTGCGGGCGGCTGGCCCTTCAGCCTTGTGGTGAAAGTCCCCGAAAAGCCTTGCGAGGCGCTTAGAGGCTCAGGGTTTCGGGTTTAGGGTTTAGGGTTTAGGGTTTAGGGTTTAGGGTTTAGGGATGTTAGGGTTTAGGGTATATAGGGTTTAGGGATGCTCCGGGGCTGAAAGCTTGGAGCTTTCAGGGTTTAGGGTCTTGGGAAGACGCAGAGTTTTAGAGCTTAGGCTCTCTAGGCTTCAGCCTTAGGGGATCAGGCCTCGGTTTAGGTTGGGTATCCCCCCCCAAACGAACAGTCCTTCATCGGGATTATAGTACCCCCTATGATAATCCCGATTAAGGACTGTTGGTACATGGGGTACCTGTTGATGGTTCTTTGCGGGTAAACTTTTTTGATTAGGGTTTAGGGTTTAGGGTTGTTGGTCCTACGTTATACTGGGGCTCCCAGAGAGTCAACTTAAGTCAAGCAGTTTGGGGCTATGTGGCTCAGCCTTGAGGACCCACGAGCTCGCATCCAAATGAGGCGGCTCGCTGTTGCTGGGGTTTAGGGTTTAGTTTGGCCTCAAGACTCAACTGCTAGGGCCTGTTAGGGTTCTAAACCGGAGGGTATAGGGTCCCTAGACCGCGCGCAGGAGTCACCGACACCAAGAAAGGTATATTGATACAGGCATCAACCTCAACCCGCACGGACCCGGAGCCCTAAACCCTGGCAAAAACGCAGATCCTTCGAATTCTGCTGCCTCGCAAAGCACACACGGAACGCGCTGAGGCAGCATTTTCCCCAGGAACTTTGGCCTTCGCAACTTCCGCCACGAGAAGCCCGACTACTTCACCGAGGTAAACTTCTTCCTCCACCCCGAGGCCTCTTTCGGAACAGCCTTCCACCAAATCTTCAGAGGGGTCCCCTCCCCCCCCTCCCCTTGATGTGAAAAATCTCCGGGCCGAAAAACACTTGCAATGGTGGGGGGGAGGGGGAATATCGGATGGGGTTCCAGAGGGTTCTGACAGGGGCCTTCGGGGGGCTGCTTCGCATGGTGCTTCAGGACTTCCAGGACGAGGACGAGGACGAGGTCTTCGCGTGGGATCTCTTCAACGACGATGCAAGCGAGGCAGAGAGCTTCCCAGAGGACGAGGGCATCGAGATCGCAGAGGCTGACGTCGCAACCCTTGTGGCGCTGGCCATCTCCATGGTAGAGTCCATGATCGAGCATCAGGCAAAGCGAGTGAGAGAGCCCGCTGTCGGATCGTGCGGCTTTTTCGACCAAGCATCGCTCGACGACAGCTTCTTCAGCATAGAAGACCACCCCTTGCTCGACTTTTTGCCTCATGGCACTCCGCGTTCCCCCACACAGGCAAGTATCGAAGCCTGGGGCTTTTCTTGTCGCGGGGAGCAGACGTCACGCGGAGAAGCTTCATCACGGGTCTACTTGCAAGCTCTTGGGATCAAGGGAATTCAGCTGCATCATCTTGGTATGGATTGCCTGAGGCATCCTTATCCCCTGGATTGCCCAAGGCATCCTTATCCCCATGGCAGTACGTCTTCCATGCAACATCCTCTGGCAGCCCTGGGCTGCGAAAGTAGCGGACTTCCACCGGCAATTCCCTGCTGGTGATTCCGGTGCCTAGTAGGGGTCGGAGAGTCGGCCGATCTTGGTGTGTACAGCCCACCGTCAGCCCCGTAACGCATAGGAGTCTACGCCTTTAGGAGAAGCCCTCTTTGACCAACAACTCTCATCCTGACATTGAAACATCCTGCGCCAGCAACCCTAAACCCTCCGTACTGTAAGCTTTGAAGCCCGACCTGATTTTTTTAGGCTCCTATGTCTAGAGGGGCAAAAGTTGTACAGCTGTACAGAGATGGAACACTCAACCCCGAACAAAGGTGTCAGTGCAGCTCGTTTGTTATGTGGGAACGGGAGCTGTAGCCACACTGCAAACCCTTCAGCCCGGATCTCTAGACAGCAGTTTAGCCGAAGACCCGAAAACCTAGTTTCTTCGAGGCTACCTCGGAATCCTACGAAGGCGTCTTCCCATCAGGGGTCTTGCAACCACAGAAAAATTAAAAAAGTAAGGGGTTTAGGGCATTCCTGCACCCTCTGGCGCAGGACCTCTTTGCTGACCTGGATTTTAAGAAGGAGCTCCTCGGCTTTGCAGCTTGGGGTGTCGTTGCTTCTTCCGGGCCCCTCCGCGAATATAAAATGAGTGCCCCTTTGCACGGAAAAACTGCGAAAGGGACCCACCCCACCCCCCCCCCCGTTGGACGCACAGTCAAGGTTCGGTCTTGGCGCGGTGAACTCGATCAACTGGGCCCGCATCATGTTTCAGATCACGTGCCCGGGAGTTCGGGGGAGTGGGGGGGGGGGGGGGGAGGGGTTTTCGCAGAATTGCTTATGGGACTAGGGGCGCCTAAACTAAGGGGTCGTATATGGGCGACTTATTAGCAGGGTTTACAGGGTGCAGAGGGTTGAGGGCTTTTAAGTGATCAGAGGGCTTCAGAGTTTATGGGGCTTGTTGGTGCTTGCTGAGCTCCTGAATCCCCAGCTTCTGGGAGGTACTACTTCTACACCTACTACAAGCCAGAGCCTCAGTCAAAATCCAAGTCAGTAGTTCCCAAAGAAGGGATCCACCCCCCCCGAAAAGCAAACTCCCACAAACGTAGCGCCACTTTCAGCTGGAACCCCTGAATCACTTCACCCCTTCAGGCCTCCAGGCCAGGCACCTTTAGTTGGTTTCTCGGCTTCATGAGAGCCTGTGGATGTCCATTAACCCTAAACCCTAAACCCCAACACCTTGACCCTTGAACCCTAAACCCTAAACCCTAAACCCTAAACTCCGAAAGCCTGCACAGCCACGCAGAAACCGGTTGAGGGGGCTGAGTGGCTGCAGGGCTTAGCCCTAAACCCCCGAACCTTTGGGATTTGGATTTCCCAGCATCACCTGCAGCCTACATATCACATTATGGCCATGTTTGTGGCCGTGTTTCGGTGCATCGGCTACGCCAGGTACCTGTAGCGGGTAGGACGGGCGGCGCCTGCCAGGATCTGTCAGCGAAAAGAAGCTGCTCATGACATAGCCAAGACAGGGATTGGAATTTGGATGAATCTCCCAGGCCGCCTCACTCCCACCAGGGAGTGAGTTATATAACCCTAAACCCTAAACCCTAAACTCTAAACCCTAAACCCTAAACCCTAAACCCTAAACCCTAAACCCTGCCTCAGCTTGAAATCCTACAGCCCTAAGCACCCTAAACCTCAGGAGCATCCCTGGGCTTAGGACCTCAGAGGTCTCGACCCAGCAGCCGATCCCAGCCCCCTAACCGAACCCTACACAACCTGGGTTGCCTAGGGTTTAGGGTTTAGGGTTTAGGGTTTAGGGTTTAGGGTTTAGGGTTTAGGGTTTAGGGTTTAAGGTTTAGGGTTATATTTAAGATTGTTCTATGCAGCCTCCTTTTGGCTGTTTTAACGTAAGAGCCTTGTTATCGGCAAAGGGTGTCTATCCTGTAGAGTAGCCCCCCCGGGCTCGGTTCTTCTATGTTTTGGTCCCTCAGATGGGGCTCCTTTGCAAAAACGGTATCCCCCCTCAAAAAGGGCATGCAATCTTCCCTTGGGCCCAAAGCCGTGTATGGTATGGACTATGGGCCAACAAAAACCCCTAAACATCAGAGTCCCTAGAGCTCTGCGAATTTGAAGAAGGGTTTGGGGTTCGAGGTTTGGGGTTCGAGGTTTAGGGTTAAGGGTTTAGGGTTTGGGGTATTGGGTCGCCCCACATGTTCCAGGCTCTTCCCGAACTGCGACGGTGAGATGAGCTTCAGCGTGCCCACCGGCAACTTCGGAGACATCTTGGCCGGGCGATGGGCTCGGCTTTTCCACAGCATGGGGCTTTCAGGGCTAGTGTTTCGGGTAATCAGGGTTTTAGGGCAATTAGGGTTTGGGTTCAGGGGTCATGGTTTTAGGGTTTGGGTTTTAGTCTGCGACGTCTGCGAAATCACTGCTTTACGAAGCCTGGCTCTTCTTGGCGCCGTGGCGGGAGATGTTAGAGTTTGAGATGGGCAACCGCCGATCGCGAAATTATTTTGATTGCGACATGTTGCGTCAGAACAAAGACAAAAGTGTTGATCAACCACATATATCGGCACGAACCAGACAAGGCTGCAAACCCGGAGCCCCCTAAACTCCTTCAACTGAAGGGTGCGGGCTTGAAATTTCAAACCCCATGACCGCTGAGGTACTATGCCCGACGAATGGGCCTGCCAGTGAAGCACCTCATCGTTGCCGGGGGAGCCCAGACGGGGCTCTGATCTGAACTCTGAGACCCATGTTGGCACCTTCAACAAAAAGAAATCTGAGCTCGTTTAGGAAAATAAGCTGCAGAATTTCCCCCCCCCCCCCCCCCCTCAACCCCCTTCTCCCTAAGAACTTAACCCCTCAAGACCACAAAACACAACGCGCCTCCCAAAACCAATACAACAATCCATAACACAACCATTAAACAAAGCACTCCCAACAATCCAAACAACAATCCAAAACACAACCTTAAACCAAAGCAACCACCCAAACCCATAACCTCACCCGTAAAATAGCTAATGTCCTAATGAGGTGTGCCCCTAAATCGAAACCTTCCTAAAACTTATGACCTTGGGGCGCTTCTCACATTTGCCATCAACTTCGACGACTTCCAGACAGTGTGCCTTGCTCGTTTTTTGCTGCTGATGTTGTCCGTCTCACGCTGGTTTCAAATTTCAACCGGATATGCTTGGCTGCCATCCCCCCATATTCATATCTCTGCCGAAACATTTATGCTGTCACAGCCCGGGCCAGAATTTGTGAAAAGGGTTGGATTCGGATCTGCTTGTGAAGCAGGAACTAAGATTGCTAACGAGATTCAAGGTCATCTAAATAGGGATGACGAGGCATCGGGCTTCAACAGCACTGATGCTCTGGATTGTTGGGTGCCTATGGGCACCAAACTTCATGCACACCTTTATTTGGCCCCCTTTGCAGCTCCCGCGATCATCTTTGCCAGGCCGCATCTGCGCACACGCAGCCAAGGATGCTGATATGGTTGAAATCATGCAAGCACTGGGCCGCATCGAAGGTAACCAGATGCAGCAAGGGCAGGAGCTCAAGCAGCAAGGGCAGCAGCTCAAGCAGCAAGGGCAGCAGCTCAAGCAGCTCACCGATAAGATTGAAACGATGAACCACCCTACACCCTAAACGCCCAATTAGACTTGGAAGTTAACCTTGCAGCCAACCCCATGCTGGGGAACGGGACGCTCATCCATGGTACTTGAGCGCTTCAGTGGGGCGGGTTCTTCACACCTTTAATAATTCGTGTCTCAAATAACCCCTACTATCAATCTCCAAGTAATAGTAGTTTTGGATTAATTTCTTATCTATTCGTGTTATTGTTTGGGGAGTTTTAACCCAATGACTGGTGCGTTCTTTTTCACTAATGCCTTTTTTTACGCATTATTTTGAGATTATTCCCCACTTCCATTTCGGGGTATGTTCTATTGCGTTTTGCCTGTAAAGATATATCAACTTAACTTCAATTTCATTTTTCTGTCTCCTTGCTTCAATTGGGGTCACTTTCGTAGTTTGATGAAACCATTCTGTTATATGTTAATCATATCTCCAAATTAAAATCTATCCGCTTGATATTTGCTTTTACACTTTTGTCATCTGCTTCAACCCGCTTGAACAGTATATCTTTATATGTTCTTATAAAACGCTCCGCAAACGCTGGATGCCCTCTTGTTCTATGTATCTCAATGTTCTCATCCTCCAAATATTCTATAACTGTGTTACTGTATACACTCCCGTCTTCATCACCGTGAAACATCTTCGGTTTATCGCCCATTTCTTGTAGTCCTTCCATGATTCCTGCCAACATATCAGATGGTTCGTTGCTCTTTGTAGGCATAACAGTAGCAGATTTATGTGCGGGAGCTTAATTCTGCACGTTTTAGGTTCAGGGTTGGTGCACTCCTTGAACCTCTTGCTGTTGAGCTTGCACAGACTGCCCAAACGGGCCTTTCTTCAACTCCCAAGCCCTGTAGAAGTTGTAGAAGTTTGGTGGACCTGGGGCAGACTAGGGCGATCAAGAAGAAATGAGTCGGTTCAGGTCGGTTTCGTGCCGTGAGCTGAGGCAACCAACTCCAACGACATCCTGCACCGCTTCTTCACGTGCGGCAAGTACGACAAGCCCATACCTCAAGCCAGTGGGGGAGAGGATCTTACTTGCTGACCTTGGGTCCCGGGGCTTTACGGATTCAGCGCGGATGTTGGGAAGGGGTTTTCCGAAAGCCCAAACCCTCAAACGCCCATAAAGCCTTTCTCAAAAGAGACTGACGAACCCTTGCTGCTTTGAAGCACTGCCTTGAGCTGGCCTTTCGGTTGCGAACCCCAGCTTGTAGAGGCCTGCCTGTGTGGCTGCTGCGCTCATGGGGAATCTGGTACCATGGGCGGAGGAGGAAGAGCGGCAGCTTGGTACAAGTGGTACAGATCAACCGGAGGGGCAAAGCATCTCTTCCATGATCTCCGCGGAGAGCTCGGCCGCTCCGAGCCTGGATCCGGATGGCGATGGAAGGCTCATGACCATCAACTTCCTTCATCGAGATGGCCGTCTAATGCCCCTTCCCGTGAGGCCGACAAACACTGTCCTGGAGGTGTGGAAGCTGATCCGGAAGGCGTATGAATCTCAAGGTGCGCCACCTGGCTACTCCTATTGTCCAGGAGGAGGGACGCAGCTGGAACTTTCCTATGGTGGACAAAAGCTCAACCAGATCGGAAAGACAATGGCCAGCTACGGCATCAGAGATGGCCAGATCGTGCGCATCCAGTTGAAAGCCCCGGAGCGAGCGCCCGAGCCCTTCAGGCAAAATGTTCCCAGTATATGGAGCCAGGTCTACGTGTCCGGTGCACATGCACCCGAAAGGACCCGTTGGCACGGTGCTTGAAGGGACTTCCTACAGCCCTTGTCTCGGAAGCCAAGTGACACAGGACTGGCCAACTTGCAGAAGGCTTCGGCAAGTTGACGAGGGCAAGTCAGCCGCGAAGCTCTCGTAGACAGGTAGCTGCTAGCATCAGTTCCATGCGCTTCTTGACAACAAGTGCATCCTCGAAAATGCTTGTGCAGCACATGCTTGTGTTCTGGTTTTGGGGGGTTGTCGGGATTTTTACCCGAAGCTCTAATCCCCATTCCAAGGGTCCAAGGGTTACGGATGGTATGCGAAGTCATGGTTCAGCTCTCAGCCTAGTTTAGGCTAGGAGACATCCGCAAGCCCGTATTATTTATGTATATATATATATATATATTGTAATAATTTAATACCCCCCCCCCCCCCCACGACACGCGCGGTAGTGGGATTTTGGACTTGAGTGTTCACAGTTTAAGGTTTATTTCGGGTTGCAGGGCATAGGGTTTTAACCCTAAACCCTAAACCGGATTCCCCAATCCTAAACCCTAAGCTCCCCAATGCAACCACAGGGACAAGGCGTCGGAGTCTTGAGGTTTAGGGTTTTAGGGTTTTAGGGTTTAGGGTTTAGGGTTTAGGGTTTAGGGTGTAGGGTGTAGGGTGTAGGGTTTAGGGTTTAGGGTTTAGGGTTTAGGCGGCGCTTCGAACTTCGACCGCAAACTCCGGATGCGCCCGTACTCCACAACCCTAAGCACAGTCAATGAGTTTAGGGCCATTTTAGGGTTTATCAACTCGTTTGGGACTTCCTTTAGGGATTGTAGGGTCTGCATGGGGTTTTAAAAGGGGCTTTATATCCTACTGAACCTTACGCCCCAAGCCTTTCCATCCGAAACGCTCAGGTACCCTGTGAAGCAGACGATGTCTCCGTCCATGGACATCGGCATTAGCAGCAACTTCGAGCGGCTCCTCGGGCGCTGGATCTTGCGTTGGGAGTTCGGGTTGAGGGTTTGGTGCCCTAAACCCTTATACCCTTAAACCCTCAGCCTTGAACCCCCTACACCCTATGAATTCGCCTCAGAAGCGAGACACCCCGGTCCGAACCTACCCCCAAAGCTCGAAAGCCTTCAGGTTCAGGGTGGCCAGGGTTCAGGGCAGCTCAAGGTTCGTGAGGGGCCCACCAGTTGGACGTACAGCTCAACGGGTAAATCCTAAACCCTAAACCCCAAACCCCAAACCCTAAAGCTTCGAGCCGAGAATAGGACTTCGAGGTAGTTGTTTTGGTGGCGTGATGCCAGATACCTCTTCGACCTCTTCGGCAAAAATGCCGAGAAGCTCTCCAAGGTGCGATCTAGGGTTCAGTTTTGGGGTTTAGGGTTTAGGGTTTAGGTTTAGGGTTTAGGGCTTAGGGTTTAGGGTTTAGGGTTCAGTGTGGTGGAGCGTTTCGACTGCGGAGTCAAGCACACGAAAACACACTTTTACTGCTACTGCGCCTGTACTGCTACGGCTACTACTAGTAGGGCTTCGCCGCCTGGCGCGACAGGAAAACAGCAACTTTTTTTCCGTATCTTTTTGCCGAAATCTTGAGGGCCACTTTTCACTATCTGCTTACTCGCGATAGGAAAACATGGTTTTGAAGAGATTTTGAAGATGCTGTCAATACTAAATACCAGCATTCGCGTTGGAGATTTTTCACATATTTTCGTCATTTTCGATGGTGTCCTTTTGATGGTTAGAAATCCAGGATCTGATTTGATGATTTCCTCTTCGTGTTTGTTCCGATTCTGTGTCACGTTCTTTTCTTTTGGTGGGGGGGGGGGGGGGGGCCAAGGCGGTAACTGCGTTCGATACACGGGCATTCGTGCGAATGGCAAGAGCATGCATACCCACATGCGTGCGTGCGAATGGCCAGAGCATCCATGCCCGCACGAAGATGACGTCCATGTTACAAGTGCGTGCGGGTGGCGAGAGCATCCATGCTCGCACGATGATTTCGTCCCCGTTACCGGTGCGTGCGAGTGATGTTGACGGGTACTGCGGCACCGTCGCAGTTGGGGGGGGGGGGGTTACTACGACGACGACGACGCCGACTACTACTACTACTACTACTACTACTACTACTACTACAACGACGACGACGACTACTACTTCTTCCTGCTACTACTGCTACTCCTACTCCTGCCCTGGTACTACTACTCCTCCCCCTTCCTCCTACTACTACGAGTGCTGGCCTATGTTCTGGACTCTTGGTGTTGGGGTGGCTTACTTCAATAGTGTTGGCATGTACATGCAGAGGAGGAGACAACTGGAAGGAAGTCCGATGTTTGTGAGCGGTTAAAAGGCGTCACCCGCCCAACCGCATTCTTGAACATGCCACAATCAGGCTATGCTGGACTTCAAGTCGTGCGGAAAGCTTCACGTGCAGGGTGAGGACGCCAGCTCGGAAACCTAACCAAGCTTGAGCCGCTGTAAGACCCCTCCTTCAGGGCACCCCCAAAAACCCTAGATCCTAAGCCCCAAACCCTGAACTCCCATTGAACCGACGATCGGCACAATCGTTTTCGTTCCTAGGTGGATTACAGGGTTTAGGGATTGGTGGCCCAAGTTGCTTGTGTGGCGTTCGTTTCGGTGCTGAGTGCGTGTTAGCACGCATCGGAGTGCGAGGTTTAGGTGTTAGGAGCGCCTTAGCCTTTCCACTACCAGGGCTAAGCTCTAATCAGAACCAAGCCTCCCAACGAGAAAGAGTCAAACAGACTTGAAATCTCTGGCCCCCAGGCCCAAACCTTCATCCGACACCATGCGAACCGCATACGCATGTTGAGTTTGGGTCTTCATGGCGAGTGTATATTTAGATGGGGTGCCCTTTTCGGGGATCCCAAGAGTAAAACCCCTGCCGCATAAATGGGCACAAGCAGGCCCTCCATGTCCCTAGATGGACCCTGACCCCAGAGGCCTGCAGTTGCTACGGAACCTATAGGGTTTAGAGGGCTGAGAGGGGCAGGGCCTCGGCCCAGAACATGTGCATGCCGAACTCCCCAGCCGGCTCCAGGACCTTCAAAAGGCCCAGAAAGATTTTGTGTCCGCCTGCGCGACAGAGCAGCATCAGACGGACACCATCAGGCCACGATTGTGTGCTCGCTAGCCTACTGCTGACCCACGTAGATTTTGATTTCTAAGGGGATGTTTGCGAATGCATGCTGGAGAGAGACATGGAAGAGTGTATTCGCGGTTGGGTTTCAGATATCGCGCTGGTGAGTTTTGACTGGCCTGATAGCTTGGGAGCTGGATGAGGGGGGGGGGTTGAATTCTGAATGCTGAGCCCAGGGGCCATGATTCAGGGGTGGTGCGCGGGTTGCAAAGGGTTGCAGGGGTTAGGATCAAGGGCTGGCAGTGGTCGGAAAGCTGTTGCTGGCAAGGGTTTAGGGTTTAGGGTTAAGGGCCCTCAACCAACAGAGCCTAAACACATGAAGCACGTCAAGAACATGAATACAGCACACCACATCCTCAGCACTAAGCCCTCACACCGCAAGCCTGAACTTTGTCATAGTGGGTAACATTTTACATGTCTATGGGTGTTTAAACTCAATCAATAAGGAATAGAAATTCGAATCTTCAATGCTATCCCAACCATGAACTAGTGAACTTGGACCCTGAACCATGAGTCCAGACTCCACACAGCAGCGAGGCAGTATGAAACCAGCTTTGGCTACACCTTGTGTCCACACACTGCCTGCGGCGTCTCTGCCGCTGCAGGGGCTCCCAGTCCTTTTAGGGTGGGTTCCCTAAGGGTATATAGGGCTTAGGGTTGTCCCAAAACCCATCCTTAAGACCCAAATGTCAAGGTTCAGGCTTTGTAGTTTTGCTATCTTTTCTGCGGGAGGATGCCCAGTCGCACACTTGGGGTCCGGTGTATCCAACAAGAGCGGCACCCGTTTCATTCTCAGGTTCAGGGGCCTGAAAACAGGGTCTCCAGGCTTTGTGCAATCATCACGTTGAGTGCGGAGCAGTGTATCATTTGAGTTGTCTTGGCACTTGCGATCCGTGGTAAATAATTGCAGTAGAATAGAGCTTTCCTTTCGAAAGCTGGGATGTAACTGGTTTAGAAGATCTAGTCTTGGACGCAACGCCCAGCCTGGACCCTCCCTAAACCCTAAACCCCTAAACCATAAAACCTTAAACCCTCAACCCTCAACCCTAAACCCTAAACCCTATACCCTATACCCTAAACCCTAAACCCTAAACCCTAAACCCTAAACCCTAAACCCTAAACCCTAAACCCTAACCCTAAACCCTAAACCCTCTCCCAATGCACCCTCAACCGTAAACCGGGGGCGTGAGCTCGAGCTGTCGGCTTGGGACCTACACTCGGGCGCAGAAGGACCAGGTGCCGCCCTGGGGGCCTCAAAGAGATGAACTGGGTTTTAGGGTTTCGGGTTTAGGGTTTGGGGTTTGGGTTTAGGGTTAAGGGCCCATAGCATTGTAGACTCCAACCTCTACAAACCTCATACGCAAACCCTAGACGCCTACTAGAGTAACGTCTATTCCCTTAACAACCTACTAACAACAGACAACAGAACCCTTTACGATGATTCAGTAAGCCTCAACCCTAATCCCCGAGTGTAAATCCTCCTTGCATCCACCCAGGACCAGCTGAGGCAGAGTCTCAACTGGGCTTCTGCTCGGGGGCCCTGCAGACAGGGGCGCTTGATTGTGGGACTAGGGTGTATTGGGCTTAAGGTTTCGGGTGTCGGGTTTTGTCAAGTTGTAGACCCTCGTGCAGACAGGTAGCTAAGGAGTCCAGGAGCAGGAGAAACCCTAAACCATTTCAAGGTGTTGCGGTTTGGGGCCTGGTCCGGGAGGCTTGTTGGGGCTTCGGACTTCGGCTACGGCCTTTACGAGAATGGGGGACCCAAATCGCAGGATTCCCTTTTGATAAGGATTAATCGGGGCCCAATCCGGGCCTGATCATAGCATGCAGAACCGAATTCAAAAGCCACAAGCCCGGGCCCTAAAATCGGGCTTCAGAAGTTTCGGCTTAGGGGCCCCTTATGCATGCCAAGACCCCTCCTATAAGCTCTAGACCCTTTAAGCTGTAAGATCCCTCAACCCTAAAACCCCTTAGCCTTTAAGCCCACACAGAGCTCCCAAGGTGCAGAATCACAAGATGGTGGTGCTGGCGACAGCCCACCCTGGCAAGTCCCATGCCGAGAGGGGCTTGAGTAGGATTGTGTTCTTGCTGGGAGGGTTGTTAGGGATGGCTCTGGCAAACAGGTTCAGCGTGGCGCTAGTGTTATGACAAGGGGTTCAAAGGAGTTTGAGAGATGCAAAGATGCAGACCCAACCAGTGGAGGACTGCCATGCCACACCCTAAGCCCCGGATCCTAGGCTGTCCTAGAGTATGTTTTTAAGGATCCGAGTATCCGATCATGAAAGATTCCTCCATTATGGAATCTAGAACAACCCCACATATCCCCCTGAACCTTAAACCCTAAATCCCACACCCTAAACCCGCCAAAGTCCTTGAACCTGTTGCGGCCTTAGGGATTTTAAGGGCTCTCCGTGGCTCCTTGCAGCAAACCTAACGCTTCACAAGGTGGGCCCAAAACCCTAAACCGCCTTAACCCAAAACCCTAAACCCTAAACGCCAAGCCGGGAGGTGGTCTAACTACAATTGTTAAGGGTTTAGGGTTTAGGCAGAAGGCGGAATACCACAAGGGAAACTGCCCGGTGTCAGTCATTTCATGTCGATCAGCCCCCAGACCTCCAAACCCCCAAACATCTGAACCCCAAGACCCCAAACCTAAATCCTAAACCTAAACCCCTAAACTGTTAAACCCCTAAGCTCCCAAACCCCTAAAACCCATAAACCCTTCAGTACAGGCACTGCATTGCCCTGTTCCTTTGCGTAGTCCTGTTGAGGTCTGGAATTGTTATACAAAGCTGACAAGAGCAGTGCGCAAACGGCGCAATGCTTAAATTTGGAATTAACGTTGTATGTCGCCCTGTTAAGCATCTTGGCGTGCTTCTTCTTGCATAAACCCTTAAGCCCCTAAACCCCTGTGTTTTTTGGGGGGCTCAGGTTTAAGAACCCCGTAACATACCCGAAAACATACCCTGATGCCGCGAAACATACCCGAAACATACCCCCGAAACATACCCCGAAACATACCCCGAAACATACCCGCGAAACATACCCCGACCCCAACACGTGTTACGCGCCTCCCCATTAAGATACAAACCCCTATAAACCCTAAACCCCCAATATAAACCCTAAACCCTAAACCCCTAAACCCCTATAAACCCCTAAACTCCTAAACCCCTAAACCCCTAAACTCCTAAACCCCTAAACCCCCAAACCCCCATAAACCCCTAAACCCCTAAACCCCTATAAACCCCTAAACCCCCAAAGACCCCTTAAACTGTCAGGTTTGCTGATAGCGTGACCGCGGCAACTGGCACGTGCTCTCCTCAGCCTTCAACGGCCCCGTCACCTTCGACCGGGTTTAGGGTTTAGGGTTTAGGGTTTAGGGTTTAGGGTTTAGGGTTTAGGGTTTAGGGTTTAGGATTTAGGTTTTAGGGTTTAGGGTTTAGGGTTTAGGATTTAGGGTATTACTTCGACTCTACATTACAAAACGATCTGTGTAACCCTAGCTATGAGCCCCTTATCCGAGATCCCCTAAAGCTTGTAAGCCTCCTCAAGTAGATACACCGGAAGTGTAGGGCGCTTTTAAGGTTTGTAGATTTTGCTTTGGCTTTCAGCGTTTAGGGGCCCAAGCCCTAATCCCTATACCCTAAGCCTGGGCTTAATCGGCCCTGGCCAGATTCTGACACAGCGACATCGCGCGTCATCAAGAGATCCGAAGCCTTGACCCGACTTGTTTCATCTCTGAGCAGTTCTGAGGCCTTCGAGTTCGGGTTGTACCCTTTGAGGGCCCAAGCGCCGAACTCTATGTAGGCTACTTATCCAATGCCTTAGAATTCTTAATTAGGAAGTAGTGACAGTGAGATCCTAAGAGCCTGCAGGGAGTGGGCTGCGATCTCCCCCGTGGAAGCAATGCTGTGCATTCGAGCGATAACTGGCAGCGAGGTGGCTCGGCTGAGGCTGGAGGACTTGCGGCGTACAACTGAGAGTGAGAATGTCTCCACATGCCAGGTGCGCGATGTGAAGCTCCATCTCCAAGAGCTTTGTGGGCAGCCTCGGTTTCGACAGCGACTCCTGCAAGAGGATGGGCAGATATTGTCCGACGAGGCAGTTCTGGATGTGCCACAGCAGCGTGTCCTGGAGCTAGTCTTGCTGAGCTTTGCCGAGGCTACTGCCGATCATGTTGACAAGCTGCTCCAGGCCGTTCAAGACAGCGACATGAACCAAATAGAGAGAATCTTGCAGAGACCACAAGACCCGAGCCTGGCAGATCAAAGCAGCATCGCGGCCTTACACGTGGCGGCCACAATTGGGAGCGAAATGGCTGCAGCGCTGCTGCTTGAGGCAGGCGCAGACAAGGACCTTGCGACGAATCATGGAGCCACGCCTCTGTTCATCGCATCTGAGAACGGCCACCTGGGGTTTGCACGTTTGTTGCTGAAATCGGGCGTAGACAAGGATGCAGCCAACACGGATGGAGCCACACCTCTCTTTGCCGCATCTCACAACGGCCACTCGGAAGTTGCATGTTTGCTGATAGAAGCGGGCGTGGACAAGGATGCAGCCAACTCGAATGCAGCCACGCCGCTTCTCGCGGCATCTCACAGCGGCCACTTGGAAGTTGTAGGTTTGCTGCTTGAATCTGGAGTGGACGGGGATGCAGCCACAAGAAATGGAGCCACACCTCTGTTCGCTGCATCGCAGAATGGCCACTTGGAAGTTGTTCGGTTGTTGCTTGAAGCTGGCGTGGACAGGGATGCTTCCACGACAAATGGAGCCACACCTCTTTTCGCCGCGTCTCAGAACGGCCACTTGGAAGTTGCATGTTTGTTGCTTGAAGCAGGTGTGGACAAGGATGCAGCCGACACAGATGGAGCCACGCCTCTTTTCGTCGCATCTCAGAGCGGTCATCTGGAAGTGGCTCGTTTGTTGCTTGGTTTTGGTGTGCACAAAGATGCAACCACGACGGATGGAGCCACCCCTCTTTCCATAGCGTCACAGACCGGCCACTTGGAAGTGGCACGGTTGCTGCTTGAAGCAAGCGCTGACAAGGATGCAGCCGACAGGAATGCAGCCACGCCTCTTCTCATCGCATCTTGCCGCGGCCACTTGGAAGTTGCGCGTTTGTTGCTTGAAGCTGGCGTGGACAGGGATGCAGCCACGACAACTGGCGCCACCCCTCTTATCGCTGCGTCTCAGAACGGCCACTTCGAAGTTGCACGTTTGTTGCTTGAATCTGGCTCAGATAGGGATGCAGCCACAACAGTTGGAGCCACGCCTCTTTTCGCCGCATCTCAGAACGGCCACTTGGAAGTGGCACGGTTGCTGCTCGAAGCAGGCACGGACAAGGATGCAGCCACAACAAATGGAGCCACGCCTCTGTTTATCGCATCTCAGAACGGCCATGCGCAAGTTGCACGGTTGCTGCTTGAAGCTGGGGTGGACAGAGATGCAGCCACGACAAAAGGAGCCACGCCTCTTTTCGCCGCCTCTCAGAATGGCCACCTGGATGTTGTGCGTTTGTTGCTTGAAGCAGGTGTAAACAAGGACGCAGCTGACAGAAATGCAGCCACACCTCTATTCATCGCATCTCAAAACGGCCACTTGGAAGTTGCACGTTTGTTGCTGGATTTTGGTGTGCACAAAGATGCAGCCATGACACATGGAGCCACCCCTCTTTTCATCGCATCTCAGAATGGCCACTTGGAAGTTGCACGCTTGCTACTTGAAGCGGGTGTGGACAAGGACGCAGCCGACAGGAATGCAGCCACGCCTCTGTTCGCCGCATCTCAGAATGGCCACTTGGAAGTTGCACGTTTGTTGCTTGAAGCTGGCGTGGACACGGATGCAGCCGACACGAATGCAGCTACACCTCTTCTTGCCGCATGTCACAGCGGCTACTTGGAGATTGCACGTTTGCTGCTTGATGCTGGAGTGGACGGGTGTGCCGCCACGACATACGGAGCCACACCTCTGTTCGCTGCATCGCAGAATGGCCACTTGGAAGTTGCACGGTTGTTGCTTGAAGCTGGCGTTGACAAGGATGCCACCGACGCAGATGGAGCCACGCCTCTGTTCGCCGCATCGCACAATGGCCACTTGGAAGTTGCACGTTTGTTGCTTGAATTTGGTGCGCGCAAAGGTGGAGCCACGACAGAAGGAGCCACCCCTCTTTCCTTGGCATCACAGAACGGCCACACCGAAGTTGCACGCTTGCTGCTTGAAGCGGGTGTGGACAAGGACGCAGCCGACAGGAATACAGCCACGCCTCTTCTCATCGCATCTCACTGCGGCCACTTGGAAGTTGCACGTTTGTTGCTTGCCGCTGGAGCGAACGGGGATGCAGCCACGACAAATGGAGTGACGCCTCTGGTCGCCGCATCTCAGAACGGCCACTTGGAAGTTGCGCGTTTGCTGCTCGAAGCAGGCGTCGACAAGGGTGCAACCACAGCAAATGGAGCAACAGCCCTGTTCATCGCCTCTCAGAACGGCCACTTGGAAGTGGCACGTTTGCTGCTTGAAGCAGGCGTTGACAAGGGTACAGCCAGCACGAATGCTGCCACGCCTCTTCTCGCTGCATCTCAGAACGGCCACGTGGAAGTTGCACGTTTGTTGCTTGAAGCAGGTGTGGACAGGGATGCTGCCACAACAATTGGAGCCACGCCTCTTTTCGCCGCATCTCAGAACGGCCACTTGGAAGTGGCACGTTTGTTGCTGAAAGTTGGTGCAGACAAGGATGCTGCTACGACAATTGGAGCCACTCCGCTGTTCATTGCCTCTCACAACGGTTATTCGGAAGTTGCACGTTTGTTGCTGGAATTTGGTGTGCACAAAGATGCAGCCACAAATGTTGGAGCCACTCCTCTATTCATCGCATCTGAGCACGGCCACACGGAAGCTGCTCGGCTACTGCTCGAAGCAGGCGCGGACAAGGATGCAGCCGACATGGATGGAGCCACTCCTCTTTTCGTCGCGTCTCAGAACGGGCACTTGGAAGTCGCACGTTTGTTGCTTGAATGTGGTGCGCACAAAGATGCAGCCACGACAGAAGGAGCCACCCCAATTTCCATCGCATCTCTGAACGGCCATTTGGACGTTGCACGATTGCTTGAAGCGGGCGTGGACAAGGACTCAGACGACAGGAATGCAGCCACGCCTCTTCTCATCGCATCCTTACCTCGGCCACTTGGAAGTTACACGTTCGCTGCTTGAATTTGGTGTGCACAAAGATGCAGCCACGACGGATTGAGCCAAGCCTTTATTCGCCGCATCTCTGAACGACCACTGGAAAGTTGCGCGGACAAGTATGCAGCCGGCAGAAGTTCGGCCACGCCTCTTTTTCGCCCCGTGACAGAACAGCCAGCCTTTGAGTTTGTTGCATGAATTTGGTGTGCACTAAGACACTAAGATGCAGCCACGACTGATAGAGCTACGCCTCAGTCCATAGCATCTTTGGTGCTTAAAGCTGGCGTGGACAGGGCTTCCGCCGACAGGCATGCAGCCACACCTTTTTTTTTCGCGGCATCTCAGAAAGCAACACCTGTCTACCTGGGCCTTTCAGGATGGCTCTTGGACATGGCACCTCAAACAGGTTTAGGGTTTTGCCTCTTGACAATGGGTTTAATGATGAGGTTTGGTGACGTGTTAAGGCTAAGGGGTTTGTGCTTCGCGCTTAGGGTTCAGGGGTTCAGGGTTTGTGAATGTTTCAATTACGGGCCTACGAAATATTATATACACGCAAACAGGGGCCTAAAACTTCAATGCCCTTGGGTCGAGCGTCCTCCCTGTTCAAGAAGGGGGCACAGTTCCCTAGATCCTAAATTCCAAAACCCCTAAACCTTGGGGTTAGAGGAGCTTCAGGGTTTCCCCCCAAGATGCCCTCAGCCCCAAGATTCCTTCAACCCATTCAGTGCTAGGGTTTAGGGTTTAGGGTTTAGGGTTTAGGGGTTAGGGGTTAGGGGTTAGGGGTTAGGGGTTAGGGTTTAGGGTCTAGGGTCTAGGGTTTAGGCTTTAGGGGCTTAAGGCTTATGAGGCTTAGGGGCTTAAGGCTTACAGGCTTCGGGGTTAAGGCTTAGGGGGTTAAGGCTTAGTGGCTTTGTGGCCTTGGGCTTTGGGGCTTTGGGGCTTAGGGCTCAGGCCTTAGGGCCGACTGAGCCCCAAGGCCGGTGAAGCTTCCGCCGGCATTGGCAGCTTTGCAGTCCGCACCCACCCGGTTCCAGGCCAGTTTTTTGGGGGCTGGCTGGGGGCAGAGTTGTGTTTAGGGGTTATGGTAAAAGCCGGAAACCCTTAACCCTAGGTCGGTTTTGGGCCTCCGAGGGCTTTTGTTTTTCCAATTTTTTTGTTTGTTTATTTATTATTTTTATGTTTTTTTTTGGGGTGGGGGGTGGGATAAATTTGGGAGGCCTGGGCTGTTGTCGCGACATGGCTTGCTGCATGTGTCCTGTCCCCGCAGCTTTGAACTGAGCTTTTGGGGTTTTAAGGCTTAAGGTTTCGGGCGGCAGGTTTAAGGTCTGTTTAGGGTCTGTCGAGGTTTCGGGCTTTGGGTGTGAATGTGAGGCGTATGGTGATTTACAGGGTTTCAACAAAGACGGTCGTTGGGGCTGAGGGTATAAGCCATACAGGTACCACAAGTCGCATACCAAGACTCTTAGTAGTTCTTGTTCCGGGGCAATCCATTTTCTTAATTCTAGTAGCAGAAGCGAAAAAATATGGCTACCTCAAAAACTACACTTAAGGGTCCAGTTAAGGGAGCATGACCCCGACAGGGGTTTAGGCTGCGTAAACTCGCGCAAACTCTGAAGCCCTTATAAACCCTAACGCCAACACTGAAAACAGCTCAACTAGCCAGGTCTTGGGCAACTCCGCCAAAGCCGTGCGCACTGCCATCGAGACTACGGTGAACGGACAGGCGTCGGAATTAGGGTTTAGGGTTGTTGCTTCGCTTCGCTTTGCTATGGTTTGCTTTGCTGACTTTCGGACATTGGGATCCCTTAAAGGGTTATGGTGGGATATAAAAAACATCAAACATAGTTGAGAGCTTTGGGCGTCGGGCGCATATTCGCCTAGAACCTTGTACCAGAGTGACCAACCTGTATACCCTCAAGAAGGCATGTGTATATATATATATATGTAGGTAAGATTACAAGTTATACACATGTATGTATGTATGTCTCTGTATATATATATATATATATATGTGTGCATACCGTTTTCTGAGGTGTAAGGTAACGCTTCAGAAGTCCTCGGCTGTGGCCCCTACAGCACCAGACCGGACGGCGAGCGACGAGAGCAGTCCTCTGTCCGAGAACACCCGGCAACCCGTTTCCTGCACCCTAACCCATAAAACCCTAAACCCTAAACCCTAAACCCTAAACCCTAACCCATAAAGCCCTATCTTAACCTGCAAATTGTTAACCCTAGACCTCTAAACCCTGAACCCTGCACTTGAAAATCCCAAATTCGTAGTGGTAGCCATCTGTCGAAGGCTAGCTCCCTAGACGTCACCTGAAGGCCCAAATCCCATAAATACTAAATGGTGTTGAGGGCTTCGGGTTTAGGGTCTGGGCTATGGGGTTAGAGCTTAGGGCTTAGGGGTGAGGGGTTTCTCTAAATTGGGTCTCTTGTGGGAGCTCCCATCTTCAAGCGGAGCCTGTTGTTTTTTCTGTGCGGGCGGTGCCCCAAACTCACCATACACATTTAGTAAAACTGGCAACGTCCCAATGCCAATATTACTGGCTCTCAGTAGGGTATGAAGCAATGACGGTCCCCGCACAGTCCAGTAGATGGCGTTTATCAGGTGCTAGGACATACCACCTTCCCCAATGCCCGATTAAGAACTAGTAAGTAAGCCTTTCATCATTTATCACTACTTTGGCAGGGTCGCTCTCTTTATCTTTTTTGTTGGTTCTCTCTCTCTCTCTCTCTCGCTCTCTTTCTCTCTTTCTCTCTTTCTCTCTTTCTCTCTTTCTCTCTTTCTCTCTTTCTCTCTTTCTCTCTTGAATTGCAGTCCTTGGATCCCATTAGATAGGTTTCCGGGCCATTCCTAGCAGATGATGGCTCCTTCCATCGTTGTAGGGTTCCCTAGGGGTCGGAATACTTGCTAATAGTATTCCCTCATGGTCCTTTATAACTTTACCATAATCGCCCCCCCCCCCTAAAACCCTATTCTAATGATTAAGGCCTCTATACTACCCTCAACCCCTAAGCTTACTGGGTTCTTGCGTCCCCCGCAATAACAGATCGGAGATCCTGAAGGGTAGCCCCCATCCTGAATTCCCTGCTACAAGTGCGTACCTCTAAACCCTAAACCCTAAACCCTAAACCCTAAACCCTAAACCCTAACCCCTAAACCCCTAAACCCGAAACCCCAACTGCGGGGCCCAAAGCAGGTCAGTACCGGCGTTCTGGCCTCCTTGCTGCATGTGCTGCGCAAGGCGCTCCCCTGCTGCTAACAGCGCAGGCTGGGATGGTAGGGGGGTTGGGGGTTTAGGGTTTAGGTTTTAGGGTTTAGGGTTTAGGGTTTAGGCCTTAGGGTTTAGGGTTTGGGGCCCGGGGTTTGGGATTTGGGGTTCAGGGATCCCAGGCGTGGTAGAAGGTTCAGGGTTGAGGGCTTTAGTTTCAGGCGATGGCAATTTCACAGAGAGTTGCCTCCTTTTTGAACTTCAGCGCTTTAGACCCGGAACCCTATGCAGTGAACCTGAAAGCCTTGGGCATCCGTCACCCCTGTGGGACGACTTGGGGGTCCTCAGTCGCCTCTTGTGTCTTCCTATTGGGGGGTTTCACAGGGTTCATGGGGCTTATACTGCACTAGTTCACCACACAACATAAAGTCCACACACATCGCACAGTGGCAGCCTCTTGACTCATAGCAGCCAACATGGGAAGCCTCCTCCGCGGGAACTGTACAGTTAGTGTAAACCTAATCCTGAAATTTGCTCCGCCACGAGGGGGCACGTAAAGTGGCACTCGCGTCCACTCCGCTTCTCCCCGGCACAAGTGTAGGCTGGTGCGAAAGATCTTCCGCAAGTCGAAACTTTCGTCTCGGTGGTGTAGGGTTTATAGGGTTTTCACAGGGTTTATACAGGGTTTATAGGGTTTATAGAGATTCTTTAGGGCTGATTCGAGCTTATTTGGTTTTCTTATTTTGGTGTTACAGTAGGGTTTATAGAGTTTATAGGGTTTGTGGGATTTTGGATCTGACGTTTTCGGACTTTGGGGTCTGAGCCCCTACCGGCCTTTCAAACCTCAAGGGGAAAGTGCCCTCCAACAAGATAAGAAGCCCAACGATTTGGGAAAGAGGTAGAGAAGAAGCCCCGGGCCTAGGCCCTGAAAGGCTTGGTGTATCAAAACCTCATCCTAAACCCTCAACCCTAAACCACACGAACCCTTCAGTTTTGTGATTTAGGTCTTAGCCGTGGCCAGGCTAATCCGCAGGACTGGCCCTCATGGCCGACTGTCCAAAGAGGTGGGGCGGGTTTAGGGTTAGGGTTTAGGGTTTAGGGTTTAGGGTTTAGTGTTTAGGGTTTAGGGCTTAGGGTTTAGGAGTTGAAGGGCTCAGGGGTTTAGGGTTTAGGGTCTATAGGGGCTCAGGGATGTTGTGGGATGTTGAGGGAAGTCTAACTGCGGTTTCGGGCGTACCAGGGTCGACACCTTACAACTCCCGATGAAGGTAGGTCCGGCCCACGGGATATTTTCACAACGGGGGTTCCCGGTATTTTTTTCACAAGTTGAGTTTTGGAGGGAACCCATTTCAGAGGACGGCAAGGGACTCTCGGGGCTGGGAGGAAGCACGGATAGTTACCTGAAAGGCCGCAACCCTGTAAGGCGAAAGGGGCACTTGAGAAGCGACCAGCCCTTCCCATGCTGTGCCCCTTAGCACAAGCAAGAAGTTTTGGCAGCCGCTCATCGTGGTTTTTTGTTGGTGGTGTTCGTATTCAGAGGCATAAGAATGAAGAGCGAAACGATATTGGAAATGTGTGGCTCAGGCTCTGGGGTTCAGGTTTCCCTGGGAAGTGGGCATACATTGTTTAGCGGCTTGGGGGAACAGGGGATACGGGATGAGGGTTGAAAGGCTTAAGGGTTTCAAGGGTTTGGGGTTTGCATGTTGGGCTTGTAGGGGCCAATGGTTTTAGGGTTTTAAGGTGGCCCACATCGCTGATGGCCCACACTCCTCGGCCACTTCAAGCCTTGGCGCTCCTGGACCGCTGAAAAGCCCTCTGCCCCCTAAACCCTAAACCCCAAACCCCAAACCCCAAACCCTCAACCCTCAACCCTAAACCCTAAACCTTAACCCTAAACCTTAGCCCTAAACCCTAAACCCTAAACCCTAAACCCTAAACCCTAAACCCTAAACCCTAAACCCTAAACCAGAATTTAAAGCCCTTAAGGGCCCAAACCCCGTCCCACGACGTCGGTCAAGCCCCACCGCACTAAAACCTAAGCTCTATAAACCCTAACCCAACCCTCGTCCTGCCAGGACAGCCACGGGTCCCAGTGACGCACAGACGGTTTAGGGTTTTCAACTTTCATTCTAATCCCCAAATCTTAACGCCCTCAACCCTTAAACCCTCAACCCTACACTCTAAACTTAAGGGTTTTGAGTTTAGAAAGTCTCCTTCCCGAGACCCTCAAATCCGACAAGCTCCAAACGGCTCGTGCCAACATCCCGTTTCACTGCCGGCCAGGGAATCCTTTGGCTGCGTTTGTAAGGTTTAGGGTTTCTAGTGTCTAGCGGGTTTCTGGTTGTGAGGTTGGTTTAGGGTTCAGGGCCCTCTTCAGAATTTGGGGGGTTTAGGGCCCCCTAAACCCTAAACCCTAAACCCTTAAAGCCCCCCCCGAGAGAAGCCTCAAATCCCCAGCTGGCAAAACCCATCCGGAGCCAGACCTTAGTGGCTCCCGGGGGCTCCAGCGCTGCGGCACTTTGGGGGAGGGGCTTGCAGGTTTAGGGTTTAGGGTTTAGGGTTTAGGGTTCAGGGTTTAGGGTTTAGGGCTTAGGGTTTAGGGTTCAGGGTTCAGGGTTTAGGGTTCAGGGTTTAGTTTCAGAGGGCTTGGGGGGCTTTCCTCGGGGTGGCGTCCCTGATCCCCCAAGTCTTAAGAGCCTGCATCCCTAAACCCTAAACCTGCCCGAAGCGGGAGTTGGGACGTAGAGCAGGGGCTCCCAGAGTAAGAAGGTGCGAAGTTTGAGTTGAGGGTTTGGGGTTTAGGGTTAGCCATGAGGTCGGGGGGGGGCAGGGGTTTAGGGGTTTATGGGTTTCCGGTTCAGAATTCAGGGTTTGGGGTGCGGCAGAGACATATCCAATAGTGCCCTCATTTCCCAATTTTGGGGCAGGATTGCTTGAAAGCTAAGTCAAGCAACAACCTGGGTACCCGTGTATCTCTTAGGGAAACCAGTTTTTGGTTTGATCCGGGATGAGGGTCTATGAATGTAGGGGTCGGAATAATTGCTAACAGTATTCCCTTGTGGTACATAGTTACGCAAGGCTCTGGCTGCAGACATTAGGATGACTGCCCCTCCCCCGGGCGTCCACATCAACAGGGAGCCTGAGCACAGGGGGAAAATTGCGCGCGGCGCCCTGTCGACCCTAAACACTAATTACCGAGCTTATATAAAGCTCTCTTATATACGTACCTACATACATACATACATACATATATATATATATATATATATATATATATTTATACCAGCCCTAGAGGCCCTAGCAGCCCTATATGACCTGCAGGCCCTGTGCAGCCCTCAGACCTAAACACTGTCAGAAGCAGACCTAGTGCCTTTGAAGCTACGGGCAAATGAAGTTCGGTTTGAAGGTCAGGTGTGCTTAGGGTTTGGGGGTTGATGTTTCGGGCTGGTTTAGGTGGGGTTTGGGCTTGGGGCTTTGGGTTGCTTAAGACGACATGTCAGGGCGGCTACGGCAGGTCAGCTTGGTTTGGGGCTTATCGTTTGGGTACCTCACGGCTCTTTGTTCCTGTTTCGGCTTTCAGCCCGAAAAGTTCGCAGTTGGCCCCCAAGCTTTAAACCCCATTTCAAGCGCAAGCACCGCCCCAATATTCTGCAAACCCTCACATTTGAGCCCATACAGACCCCACCCACCTCCTAAATTAAGTCCCCAAACCCTAAACCCTGAACCTACCCGAAACCCAAAGCCCTGTTGCAGCAGCCTTTGCCCAGCCGTTGCGTTGTCTCCGAAAGAGCAACTGAGATGGCGCTGCCTGGCTGAGTTAAACCCTGAACCCTAAACCCTAAACCCTAATCCCCGAACCCTGAACCCTGAACCCTAGCGGTTCATTTCGGAATGTTGACGGTGGAGCTTAGGGTTGCCGGGCCTTAGAGAAGACGTTCAAGGATTCGCATGTAGGGTTTAGGGCAAGAAAGTGTGTGTGGGTTTAGGGTATCGTCGTCCTTTGACCCCTTCGGTGGTCACGTGCTCTCAGATCATTTGGGGTTGCTTGCTTTAGGGCTGCGTTTGTGGTGCCTTCAGAGCATCCCAGGTTAAACAGGCCCCCTCCCCGCCCGCTGGCCGGTCCCTAAGGTCAACCTCAGTCCCACCGCAAGCGCCGGGAGGGTACTTCATCCAGAATCCGGATGGCACCACGTCAGGCACAGTTGACTGTACACCCACTCAGAGATGAGGGCGCGGGGGATGTGTGGGGCTCACAAGGTCTTAGCAGGAGTGAGGGTTTTAAAAGTCTAGGGTTTAGGGTCCAAGGTTTTGGGCTGAGCTCGTGCCGAGGGTCTGGGAGCGGAAGTCCCCAAGGAGTGCCTTCACTTAGAGCTGCTGGGCTCGGGGAAATAGAGGGGCCTCTAGGGATAGGCAGAATTGGGTTGTGTGCATATTTGAACTCCATCCCCTCTCTCTCTCTCTCTCTCTCGCTCGCTCGCTCGCTCTGCTGATGTATACAGATTTTCTGTGCATGTATATGTATACACATACAGAAGTAAAAAGAAATGTGTGTGTGTATATATATATGTAAATAAATATACGTATATATATATATATATATATATATATACGTATATGTGTATGTGTATGGTTTCCCAAACCTTCCGACCCAGCACCGAGCCCTTGGCGCTAGGAGAGCCCAGGGTCATGACATTGAGGGAGCCAGATTTGAAAAAAAAATGGGACCTTAGTGACTTAGTGTTTAGTGTTTTGGGAAAAGCGAGGTTAAGGTTTAGGTTTCAGGGTTCAGGGTTTTGGGAACAACGAGGTTGAGGTTTAGGTTTCAGGGTGACCCAGCCTCCTTCCGCATCAAGTTCTGGCGCCCAGCAGGTCCGTTCTATGGCATCCCTCCTGCGGGCATGTTGCCGACCGGGCAGATGCCACTGGACAAGAAGTACCCATAATCCCAAAACTAGACCTACAAGTTTCAGCAGTATGTTACAACTGCCTCAAAATGGCAACCCGGCATCGGGTGAACAGGTCGTAGTGCAAGGCGTGGTGTGGATATGCTGACGTCGTCCATGCTTTTCTGAGTCTTGTTGGCAGGCTTCACATGCAGGGTTCGGGTTCAGAACTGGCCTCGTGTAAACCCTAAACCCTAAACCCTAAACCCTAAACCCTAAACCCTAAACCCTAAACCCTAAACCCTAAACCCTAGAAAACCCCGAACGCCCGCTCCCAAAGCTCTACAGCCCTAAGCCTAAGCCTTTGAATGTCCCCAAACCCGAAGCTCTGTCGGTAGCATCACTGCCCCGCCTGGGGCATCATTTTAGGGATATTCGGGGCTTTAGGGTCATGGACGCCCAGAACTCCAGGACTCATTATGAAAAGTTCACCACCGAGAGGTTGGAGTTCAGGGTTTTGTCAGCGCTTAGGGCTTTTATTGTAAGGTTTGGGGTTGTTAAACCTTTTAAGTTCGAAGGTTGAAAGCATTGGGTGTAGAGTTTGGGGTTTGACGGCTTAAGGTTGAAGGTCCTCCGCTATTGAGTGCAGGAAGACCTTGCTGCAAGCTCACGCCCTGGCTTTTTTGGCTGAAGGAGCGGCCGGTGTTCATCCCAAGTGTTTTGTGATCCTCCAGCGGCTTGCAAGACAAGTCTCAACCAGGCCAGCAGCCAAACGTAGAATGAGGAAATGAGGCAGCCGGACTTGCGACATCAAGGCAAGTTAAACGTGTTCTCAAGCTGCAAGGGCTCCTAGCGTTTGCTGTCGTGTTGACCCGAATTTGCAGGCCATGGCTCCTGAACGATCGGGAGATAGCGATGTGATGGATACCTCGGGGGAACATCTCTGCTGGATGCCGTCGACATCAGCAGGCTCAGTAGGCTCAAGCACTTCGCTGCCAGTGGTCCTCCCTCCAGAACTCTTGCGTGGTGTTCCTCTACACTTATGCCTCAGCGGCTGTGGGAAGCATTGGGATTACTCGGCGACTGGATTGCAGCAGCGTAGTAAGGCAGCTCAGAAGCTAGATGTGTGGCGGCTCAGCAGGCCCGTAGATAGGCTGGAAAATTTCCTGAGCCACGATTGGCATACATCCCGTTGGCTGAAGTTGCTTGCTTTGCTGGTGGTTTTCAACTCACGGGCAGCGGTCGTCGTCAGCCTTGTTGTGAGCCTGCTGGTGGGCATGCTGCGTGCATGGGGCCTTCTGCCGGATGCATCATGGACTGTGGCTTTTGGCTATGCGGCCTACCTCCTCACGTTCATGTTTTGGCAAAGGCTTCGTGCTTTGTGCAAACCTCGCATGGTGTTTATGGACAGGCTCTGCATTGCTCAGCGCGATCAAGGCCTGAAGAAGCAAGGCATCATGGGGCTTGCGGCTTTCCTGAATTGCTCGGAGAAGCTCACGATCCTCTGGTCGCCATCCTATTTTCAGCGGCTGCTTGGCTTGTCTTTCCTAATCTGATTGTCAGGAAGCATAAGACTGTAGGAGCCTTCCTGTCAGTCCATTGCCCTGGCCAAGGCTATGGTGTGTATATGAACTTGCAGGCTACATGAGGAGGCCTTACCACAAAGAAGAGCTGATAGAAGTGATGCCAGTGAAACTGGCGCTGCTCATGTGTATCACAGCCACTTTCGGGGGTGTGATGGGGAGGGGCTCGGAAACTTTTATGGCTGAGCGTCTAGAGACAGATTCGCGGGCGAATGCTTTGTTAGTCTTTGTGCCCGTGGGTCTGGCGTTCGGCCTTGTGGCGCTGATGATGCGTGTGTTCGCCGGCATCATGAAGGACCTCCAGCAGTTGCCAATGCAGCTGGATACCTTCCGAATTCAGGACGCTCTGAGCACGTGCTGCTCACTGCAACATGTGCACCCTGAGACAGGAGAGGAGATGCCATGCGACCGAGAGCTCGTGCCGCTGATCTGAGACTTGAGTACCCTAAACCCTAAACCCTAAACCCTAAACCCTAAACCCTAAACCCTAAACCCTGAACCCTATTTGTTTCTGTCTAGGTTGAAGAGGTGATTAATCAGGGTGTTTCTGCACTGTTCCCCGTTGCGCTGATCTGTTGGCAACATCGAACTCAGTGTTCAGGTTTGCCACGCTGCAACAGTGGTACGGGGATCCCGAGCATGTCGGCGAGGAGCATTTGGACTTTTTCAACGACGAGGTGAAGAAGCGACTGGCGCCGAGAATCCTCCGTGATGTTGGGGGCTCCAACCTGCCTCTTACGAGCAGTTGCTGCGTGGCTGCTTTCTCCTCCCTGCCCCGTTTGGCGAACACCGTTGCAAAGCTGGCCCAAGCACCAGATCCGAATGCGGCAGAGGTTCACGTGCCTCTTTGGGCAAGTCGCGTTTGCATGGACTTTCTGTTCGACCTGATCCTTCCGATGTTCGCAATGCATCTGGGATACTACTTACTTCAGGCGTGGACTGCTCGCATCCAGCCTCGATCGCCTTGGTCCAAGCACTGCTTGGCACTGCTGATCAGCTTCATGACGGTCGGCAGTGTGGCAGCCGCCAACAGGGTGTTCTCTGCAGTAAACAGCGCCAACGAGGACAGCTGGCTTCCTGCTTTGCCCTTCTTTGCTCTAGTGGCTAGTACCAGTGGCCTCCTGCTGCGCGGTCGCTGTAATCACGCGGCCGAAGGCTCAGTGTGGGCCAGGCAGAAGCGGGGGGAAAGCCTCGGCCACAGCTTCGAGGAGCGGCAGGGTGCAAGTCAAGATCGTTCCAACCCCGACATGGCGGAAGACGACGATGTCTTCAGCATCTAACCTTTCTGATGCCCTTCCGGGCCATAATGGCTCCACATGCGAGACCCTGTCGGGAGACAGGATCTCGCCGCCGGACAATTCCGTAGTTCCTATCTTTTCGAGAGCCAAGCTCTCCAGCAGTCCGGGGCTAGCCGCTCCGACTTTTCCCACCTCTTCCAAGAAGAGTGTGCGGGTAAAACCCGAACCTTCCCACATGAAGCCTGCACCCCCCACATCGTAACATGGGGCCAGAATAATTTGCTAGTAGCATCCCCTGGTTGTCCCTAGGTAATTATACGATAGTAGCCCCGGAAAACCCGATTCTAATTATTCAGGCCCCTATAATTTGATGCTTGTAAACCCCATTGCAAGCCTGGAGCCTCAACCCATCCAACTCCCCGACCCTGGACCCGTAGTTAGACATCACACCCTGTGGCTTACAACATTTTTCAATGGGGTGCAAGCTCTTCGTAGGGAACGATGGCACCCTACATATTCATTCCTTCACAGGATGATATACGGAGATGCAAGCCTTTCTCCTCGTTCCCTACTACGAACGAGTTGATGATCAGCCGCAGGCTGTATTCCTAGCTGGCACTGCAGCTTCTGCAAATCCACGACTTTGGAGTTGCTTCTGCATTTTCGAGCGGATATCTCTGCTGCAAAACAGGGTTTAGGGTTTAGGGTTTAGGGTTTTTTATGTATAAGCAGCTTGTATAAGCACCTTAGAAGATTCGCAAAGCGCACCTCATTTTGCCCATGGGGGCTTGACCCCAGACCGTTACGAGAATCTCACCTTTTCCAGTGTCTCCCTAAACCCTAAACCGTAAATTTAACACAGCCGAATTGTCTTTAGGCGAGAAATCCCTGGGCTCGGGTACCCTAGACCATAAGCCTGAAACAAACACCCTAGACTCAAGGACTAAACACAGCCTCAGTTCTAGCCGGGGCCTCTGAACGGTTTCATAGGGTTTAAATGCTAAACCCTAAACCCTAAACCCTAAACCCTAAACCTCTTTCCAAGGCAGAATGTGAGCCCCGCGCCGATGCAAGCCCCCCGGGCGGCCGCTGCCGCACCGCCGATGGCGCCGGCGGGAGCCTGGGCCGTTCCATTTTATGTGGGGGGGGGGGGAAAAATTTTTGGGGGGGGGGGGGGTTTGGGGGTTTAGGGTTTGGGGTTTAGGGTTTAGGGTTTGGGGTTTAGGGTTTGGGGTTTAGGGTTTGGGGTTTAAGGTTTGGGGTTTAGGGTTTGGGGTTTGGGGTTTAGGTTTGTTGTTTAGGGTTTAGGGCTTCGGGTTTGGGGCATGTACGGCATGATGAGTGTCGCGAAGGTTCATAGCACAGGTCCCATAGAACCTCCCTTTCCCTGATCCGATATCCCCAAATTCAAAGCCCCTTGAAGTTGTAAAGTCTCCATGAAAGGTAAAAAAAGGATCTATGATCCATGTGCCTTCGTTTTGTTGCAGTACAGGCATACTGAGCAGACATGTGACCTCTAAAGCCCTAAGCCCTAAAAGCGATGTTCAGCATCATAGTCTCCCGTCTGGCTGACCCTACTCCTTACATGACAGGAAGCTCGAAAACGTACCCTGTTGTCGGAAACCGGCAACATGAATCTTGATCTAGTTGGAGGATGTTGGGGAATGTTGCCGAAATCAGGGCTTTCAACTCCAGACCCTGAACCCCTAAACCCGGCTTTCACTGTCGCAGTGGTGAAGACCTCCGTCTGCTTCTGGCCAGTTGTGGAACGCACAGGCCCCCATCCTTCCCGCGTCTTCCGCGCCAGCGCCGTTTTGGCCCAGAGGGTTAATTTTGTGTTGCAGCTCGGCTCTTAAGGTGAACATCGCCATGGCCAAGGCTCTCTCCACCCCTCTCGAAGTGGCTGCCAGCCGCGGCAATCATGAGCTGGTGCAGGAGCTCCTGGAAGGAGAGAATCCTCGGGAGGACATCTCCGCTGCTTTGGTTGCTGCAGTGCAGGGTGGCTCGGGAGGCCCTTGGGACATTTTGTATGTTTCCCTTATATTGGGTTGAAGAGGATCATGCTCGGGAATATTTTTCAGAGGGTTTTAAGGGCCATCATCCTAGGTGGCTATCTCTACGTGGCTGAGTTGCTGGTTGCCGCGCATGCTGACGTCAACGCTCATCGGGCAAGTGGCCCTACCTCTCTTTTTGTGGCGGCTCAGCGTGGCTACTACTTTCTGACGCAGTTCCTTGTCCAGCAGCAGGCAGACGTGAATACCCGGTCTCAAGATGGTATGACGCCGTTAGGGGCCGCCGTTGCCGGCAACCATGTCGAGGTGGCCCGCTTACTTCGGGCAGTGTCGCTGCGCCGCAGCTCGATTGAGCAGGAAGCAGTTGCAGCAGCATGAACGCCATGAGTTGGAGAGAGCATTTTTGCTTCATTCACTCGACTGCAGTAGACCAGTCTTTGGCACGTGCCTGCTTTGTAAAGTCTCGAGCTTGAACAGAGAAACCTTCCGACAGTGCAACCTTGTACCACAGTGTACAGTGTACGGTGCTGTTGCACTGTCGCCTTACGAGGGTGGATCCCTGTCTCTTCGCGCGTTGCCCAAAAGCCCCTCTGCGCGACACTACCTGGAGCTTGGAGATGCTGCCAAACGCTGTACGCGAACTCAAGATGACTCCCGTTTGAAGGTTCATGTGGTTCCTGAACGTATGGGGGGGGGGGGTGGGGGTGGTCCCACATATTATGGAGCCCTAAGCCAGACTCTCCTAAGCTCTCGGGGTTTAGGAGTTTAGAGATTAGGGCCTTGCCTAAACCCAACTCGGGTGGTGCTGCTTTTTGTACAGCCTTGAATGGCTTCGTGTTTGTGGTAGCCACAGTGAGAACCCTCTGCCCAAACCCTGAACTCCAAAACCCTAAACCCTAAACCGTAAACCCTAAACCCTAAACCCCAAACCCTACGTAAACCCTAAACCCGAAAAAGCCCCCAGGAATGGCGCCCATGGGCGCTCCAGGCGGCGTTCCCTACTTCCCCCGCTCCGTGCAGGCGATTCCACCAGACGCAAGATTCTCCTTGTCTGGGCATGGGCTTGAGGTGTGTGAGGGGTTTATGGGTTTAAGTAACGGTTAGGGCCCTCGCCCTCACAAATGCACTGATGAGGCTGATTTTTTGGGACACACCACCCCTAACCCTAACCGAAAGCCCGGTTACATCTTGTGTTCGGGCATTGCAGAGTAGCTGGGGATGCTTGAGAGACCAAGGGTGCAAGGATTAGGGTTCAGGGTCTATAGGGTCTGAGTTCTAGATACACCCCACACGCTGCACCCCCTATGCCTACAACCCCATGAAGACCTAGCCCCCAAATCTTAAGCCTGAAGCCCTCTCGGGGCTCTAGTGTATCTGCTCATTTCCCGTTTTTCGCCGGGTTCCTGCTATAGTACATAGAGCCCGGTTTAGGGTTTAGGGTATAGGGCTTGGGGTTTACGAGCTTGTCCTCGGGATACCGCTGGCGCTCCACGTAAGCAGGCAGCATGGGACAACCACTTTGACGCCTTCGGAAAGCAAGATCTGGACAAGATCATGCCACCCTCTTGCATTCTCAGCTAGTCTAGGGCTTCAGGTGCATATGGCTTCTGGCCCCCGTACCTTTGTTAACGGGTTCCGAAGTACGGGCTCTTGGGCTTTGTAGAAAGGGGGAGGGGGGGGTGGTAAGGTTTATCAGAGCCCATGCAACTACTCCAGGATTGCATGCGGAGGATTCAGGGCTATGGGTCGGGCTGTAGGGTTCGGGGCTGATATGGAGGGTAGAGGCCTGATAGGGTTCGGGGTTCAGAGCGTTTATAGTTTATAGGCCTCAGAGGATGGCTTAGGGATTGTAGGGTTTCGAAGGTTAGGGTTTATGGGGCTTAGGGTGTGCCAGGTGCAGGGAGCACAGGATTGACAGGGTTTGGGGCGTAGGGTCTCATGGTTCCGGGCTTCATACGCCGAGGAGTCGGCTGCTCATGAGCTCGTGCTGCGCAGCCTCTAAATCCTGAAACCTTAAACAGCTTAGGGCCCAGGGCTTCGGGCTTAGGAGTTCCTCAGAACTTTTGTTAATCTGACCGCACTGTCCGCAATCCCCAGACCACAGACCCCCTAAGGCCCTGGGCCCTGAGTCACAATCAGAGGCTGGACTACGACGACACCTCTGTCGCCAAGGCTTCAGCGCGCCGGAGATTTGCTGCGCTAAACCCTAAACCCTATAAACCCTAAACCCTAGACCCTATAGACCCTATAGACCCTATAGACCCTATAGACCCTATAGACCCTATAGACCCTATAGACCCTATAGACCCTATAGACCCTACAGACCCTACAGACCCTAAACCCTAAATCTTGCCTCGGCCTTCGATCTTTAGGGGCGCCAGGGCTTGAGGCTTACTTCGGGGTTAAGGTTTCAGGGCTTGAAGGGCTGCGCTGTGGTCAAACTCTGGGCTTTTCTTTGGTCTTGTGATAGGAAGAAACTAACGGCTTGAAACCCGAAATTCCGAAAATCCTGAAGCCCTAAGACCCTGAACCCCATGCAGCTGCCCCACGAGCCCTTCTCCCCTCAAGTCCCCGAGCAGGAATCCTTAAAGTCTTGAAGCTTACTTGCGTTCAGGTATGTCTTCAGGGTCTAGGTTTCTTGACCCCCACATACCCTAACCGCGAAACCCCCCTAAACCCCAAACCCTAAACCCTAAACCCTAAACCCTAAACCCTAAACCCTAAACCCTAAACCCTAAACCCTAAACCCTAAACCCAAATCCTAAACCCTAAAACGCAGGTCTACAACAACAAGGATGGATCGAAGTCCGAGTTCGTGGGCAGGGTCCAGATCCGCAACATGCCCCGCCTCCGCACCTTCATGGCTCAACTCGTGGAAGGGTTTAGGGTTTAGGGTTTTTAGGGTTTAGGGTTTAGGGTTTAGGGTTTAGGGTCTAGGGTCTAGGGTCTAGGGTTTAGGGTTAGTGTTTGGGGCCGTAGGGTGTTCAGGGTCCACCATATCTCACCCATGAAGGATCTTCAGTGTTGGCGCACTAGAGTGGGAGTTCCAACAGCTGAACGCCTGAACGTGTTCTGGGTCAGAGGAAGCGTTTCCGCTGAAGTGTTCGAGGTTGGACCGAGCACTACGAAAGCTCCCCTAAACCTACGAAAGCTCCGAAACCTTAAGCCCTAAACCTTCAACCCCATTGTGAAACTTTTCTTCGAACTTTCCCTCCCCGCCCCTCAGCCCTGAATAGTTTCAAAACACAAAGCCCTAAGGGCTGAACCCTAAACCCCCTGAACCCGACCCTGGAACCCCTAAGAACCCCTGGGAACCCCCACAAACGCTACCAGCAAAGAGTTTCAATGGGGCTTCTAGGGTTTGGGGTTTTAGGGGGTTTAGGGTGTTGTAAATCCTATTCTGCAGACGACTTACTGGTGCTTACGTGGGAGAGAGTGGAGGCGTGCCAGACCTACACCCTCCAAACGCTCTAAACCCTATGTCAAGCCTCTGCAAATCCTAATAACCGCAGTCCCTATTAGTCTTGACTTCAGGTTCACGAACCTCTTCTCGGACCGCATGGGGCTTCAAGCCAACTTTGCTTGCTGTGCGACCCTACGCTCCAAGCCCTTAGCCCAAAAAGGCCTATAGGGCTTATAGGGTTCACATGCAGGGTTTATGGGGTTTATAGGGTTGAAAGGGTTGAAAGCTTGAAGGGGTTGAAGGAGTTTGAAGGGGTTTGAAGGGTTTTGGGTTGTTCCGGCAACAAGATTGCGTAACCCCCGTGCACCATGTTCACTTACCCTGTACCCCTAAAAGCCTGTAACCTTGAGGCGTTTCGGGTTTCAGAGTTTAGGCTACGCGATATGGAACCGGAGCGCACCTTACAGGTTTGGGGTTTCAGGGCTTGGAGCCCCAAAAAGGTACCAATGTTCTGAGGGTCAGGGTTGAGGCTTTAAGGGTTCTCCTATTCACATCCCTTTTCAGTACAAGCTGCCCCAAGTGCCCATTCTGAGTGCAGAGGCTCGAAATCACTGGGGCGTTTTGATGTATGTGAGCGTCGAGCCACGCAGTGCTTCTGAGTAGGAACTGTTCGGGGTTACTATGGCTTTCCGGTTTGGAGGTCTTTTAGGGCTTGGGGTTCAGGGCCCCCCTTTTTTTTTGGGGGGGGGGGGGGGGGGGGGGTTGTGGGTACTGTTGCCCCTTTCAGATTCCGTATCATTCGGGTATCATGCGTCACATTTGATAGCTGGGGGTTTGGGATACCCAGAACGGAAGGGCGACCGGAAGTCTTCCCGAGGTTTCAAGGGGCTTTACAGCATCTATGGGAACTGCCACCACCCCCCCCCCCCCCCCCCACCCCCCCCCACCCCCACCCCCCCGCCACCCCCCCCCCACCCCCCCCCCCCCCCCCCCCACCCCCCCCCCCCCCCCCGGAACCCCCTTTTCCAGGACCCGGCGCCATTTCTTTGGTTGTCTGTTTGGTTTTGCATGTTTCGCCCTAATGCTTGCTTGTAGAGCCCCTCCCTACAACTAATTTGAGCATGGTTGGAGGCATACCTAGTACTCTAGTACTGGTACCTTGTTTAATTTGGGTTGGCCAATGCCCCAACCCCAAACAGGACCTCTCAAATCTGGACACGCTGAAAGCGCCCGTTCCGGGCTCGGTTTGGGTGCGGCTCTGTGCGTCCGTGGAAAGCCCAAGCCCCTAAAGCCTAAACCTTATAAGGGTTTATGGTTTGGAATCATAGGCTGAGTCGTGTTTGCAAGCAGCTAGCTTATAGAGGGCCCCCGGACCCTAGTTCAGAGAACCACCTATGTGATCCCTAGCTTCCGCAACCCGTATTGAGGGTACGGAGCTTTGCGCTCGATGTTGACATGCAGGCTTAATCCGCTTGATTCCTCACTCAAACAGGAAGTCAACCCTACGCCGGAGCATACGGTTCGCCTTACAGCCAGCATTCTGGGCCCTGGGACCTCTCTGAAAAACTTCAGAAGTCTGAGAGTCTTCAATATGTTCCCCGTATCCTCACTGTAATTTACTCGCGAACGCGAGGCCGTCTCGGCCAGGAGGCTAGTGCCCCCTTTGAGTCAGGGCGCCCCAGGGAAGTTCGGTAGACCTGGATCGAAACGCCTCAGGCCTCCGGCCTCGGTAGATGTAGACAAAACTACCCAACATAGCCCGCATGTGAAGCAACTGGCGTCTCATGGTTTACACCTTAAACCCCATAGCCCTAAACCCTTAACCCTAAACCCTAAACCCTCAAACCCAATCGGCTTTGCATGGGCAGGTCGTGGATGTGGATGAGGCCGGCAAGACGGTTTTCTTGGTTCCTTGGTCCTGCCTGAGCAACATGTTGCGCATTTCAGGAACATACCGTTTTCACTAGAATATAGGGCTTCAGGGTTTAGGGTTTAGGGTTTGCAGTGTTCAGAAATAATCCTGAGATATGACATGATCCAGGTTTGGGAATGTCCCGGATCTGGCTACCACTTTGGCACGGACACCTTCGTTTTTGGACCGGACAACAAAATCAAGCGCCAGAACATTGTAGTGACGAAAGGATCACCGGAGAAGGACAAGAAGTCGAAGAAGAACAAGAAGCAGAGCTATTCCATCTGCTAGTTGCTGTCGTCATGCTCTTGCAAAAGAGCAGGGTTAGTTGTGGAGGGCTGATAGAATCAACCTCATCGTTGAGGCATGGTGGTGAGGCCAATGCTATGGATGATTAATCTAGGGGCTCGGAATAATTACTAATGGTATTCCCTTATGGTCCCTGTATAATTATACCATAGTCGCCCCCCAAAAACCCTGTTCTAATTCTTCAGGCCCTTTAGTAATCCAGTAAGTTTGCGCCACCTTTGGAGTTTTCTGGCGGCTGAACAGAGCTGGCATCTGGAAGCCTGAATGCAGCTGATGCCAGTCTCGACTGTACCTTATACATCGATTTTCCCTACAGCTTCGAAGCTCGGTGGTATTTCCAAAGGAAAAGCAGCGCTGTAGGTGACCTTGGGCTCTAGTAGCATGCCAGTAACGGGCTGCGGCCGCCTCGGTTTTCGAGTTCCGGGGGTTAGGGTTATAGGGTCAATGGCAAGACCGCCCACCCCACCCTATCTCTGTCACAGCGGGGTAACTTTTTACTTCTTTAAGGGTACTAGCACCCAATAAGGGGTAGACAATGATTTTTTTCGTACTATCCCAACCGTGAACTAGCTATGTCGTCACAGCTTGGCTGCCTGTACCAGTTAATAGTAGCCTAAGGTCTAATCAAGCTTTGTGATTCAGGGTCTCGGGCTTCTGGCTGGGTTCAGCAGCTTCGTTAAGTGAGAGCCCAGAATCCTGAACCCCCCAAAACCCTACGTTGTAAAGTGGGCAACCAAGCTGCTCAAGTCCGACCAGCCGTGGCAGTCCTCGAAGAGGCACGGCTGAAACCCGGTAATCCTAGAAACCCAAAACCCCAAACGAAGCCCGGATTCGATCTGAAACTCATATCCACTCGGCAGCTGTAGGAAGTAGATATGGAGGTCGCCCAAAGCAGGGTCCCTGTTGTAAACACGCAAACACCCGAAGCCCAAAACCTTAAACCCTACACCCTAACAGCTAAGATCTATAGACCCTAAACCCTAAACCCTAAAGCCTAAACCCTAAACCCTAAACCCTAAGCAGACCCAGGTATATATACGAGCCCTAAGCCCCAAGGCCCCAGCTTTCAGCGTCAGCCGGTCTTTGTTGTAACCACGTTCATTCTCCAAGCAAACAAACACCTCCTGATGAGCCATGGTCAACACGCCTCCATCAGCACCTTTGGTATACATGGATCAGTTTGGGGTCCAGGGTTTCGGGTTGAGGGTTGAGGACGTAAGGCTTGCAGGTTAGGGCGAAGACGCGTCAGGTTGAGGATTGGCGAGTACTGAAGAGTTGGCCACTCTTCCCTAAACCCCAAAACCCGAACCCTAAACCTCAAAAACCCTATACCTTAAACCCTGAATCCCTAGGCGTTCAGAAAGTCGCCTCCGAGCGAGTGCCAACCTCAAAGACGATGCGAGTGCCTACCTCAAAGACGTTGCCGCCGAAGGCCATCCATCCATCAGTTGCAACATGCCATGCATTTTCTCTCTCTCTCTCTCTCTCTCTATCTCTCTATCTCTCTATCTCTCTATCTCTCTATCTCTCTCTATCTCTCTCTATCTCTCTCTATCTCTCTCTATCTCTCTCTATCTCTCTCTATCTCTCTCTATCTCTCTCTATCTCTCTCTATCTCTCTCTATCTCTCTCTATCTCTCTCTATCTCTCTCTATCTCTCTCTATCTCTCTCTATCTCTCTCTATCTCTCTCTATCTCTCTCTCGCTCTGATTATGCAAGATATATCAGTATATATATATATATATATGCATACAAACATATATGTATATGTATATATATATATATATATATGTGTGTGTGTGTGTGTGTGCTACGTACATATCGTTGGTGTGGTCATGTTGTTCTACTTCGGTGTGCAAGTGCGTGACAAACACAAACTCAACACACAGACGCAAACACAAATGCACACACACACACACACACACACTCACAAACGCAAACACAAAAGCAAACAACACACACACACACACACACATCCACACTACCGATGTATAGGATTTTCCACATCACATGTAGGCAGAGGTACAACACAAACATTGTGTTGTTTCTTTCTTCTGGCAGTTGATTGTTTGCTTTTGGATCTACATGCACTCGCGACGCGCATACTGTGCCGGGCCGATAGTTCGACCCAGCAGCGTCAATATCTTCAACCAAACAGCTTGTGTCCCCTTCCAGAATTCAATTTATCGTATTTCAAAGCGGTGTGCAAGTTACCTGGGGGCTCCCGACCCTTCCCCTTCCCCCTTGTCCCCTCCCCTTCCTCCCTTCCCCTTCCCCCCTTCCCCTTCCCCCCTTCCCTTGAACCTGTGCAACAATCAGCCCTACATTTGCAGGCAGGCCGCTTGCTGAGGCTCCTGTCGGATCTAATGCCTGCATGAGCTCACACCAAGATTCCTCCCGCCTCGTGTGCAGGGCCTGCTGGGTGGCGGTGATCGTGACGAAGCCCTCGCCCCCGGATTTGTGTTGCGTGGTGTGGGCTCTTCCTTCTCAGGGACCAAGTGAACCCGAACATTTGGGGGGGGGGGGGGGGAGGGGGGCACATACCCTTTACCGCAGTTCTTGCGATACTACTTGTACTCCCCCTTTATATAAGGTATATGGACCATGGAAAGGGGGTTTGGCTGTTGAGGATCATTATACAAGCCTCCTAAACCCGAGACCCTAACACCTTGAGCCCAAACCCTAAACACTAAACCCCCCTGGACCTCCATTTGGTAGACGTAGCCCTAAACCCTAAACCCTAACCCTAAACCCTAAACCCTAAACCCTAAACCCTAAACCCTAAACCCTAAACCCTAAACCCTAAACCCTAAAAACCCTAAACCCTAAACCCTCCTGTGGCTCAGTCCTCCGGGCAGCTGGCGCAGAAGGGACGCGAGATGGCAGATAGTGGTGCGCTTGGGAGCTGTGGCCCTTTTTTTTGGGAGGGATGGTCGAAGCTAACAAGGAATTGCAGTGTTTGTGCACTCGGAGACCTCCCCGGAAAATTGACACACGCTCACGGCTCCATGGGACTTCGTTTTGCAATTTGTGCCTCGCATCTCAAGCCGCCGCAAGGTGCAGCGTTCTAGTGTTGCACGGCATGCCTCGCAATCCCCAGCTGTTCACCGCGTAGGACACAAGTTGCTCTGTTCAAGGGAGCTTATAGGCGCTTAGAACAGGTCACCGAATCAAGACGTAGCCCTCCTCAATGCCCAGTGAACCCCTAAAAGCACCCTCAAGCCCCCTATAAAGCCTAAAAACCCCCTAACAAGCACCCTTCTTGATGGGCCATGCGCTGCCAGCCTTGGTGAGTTTCAGCCGGTCAGCCCGACAGAGTTTAGCTTTATAGAGCTTCTTTTGGTGCCCTCATCAAGCTTCAGGCTCATGCTGAACTCCAGGCACGGCATGGTCACTTCTTGAATACACTGGACCTTGCTTTTCAGTGCTATTTTTTGTGGTCTGTGTAGTTTGTGTGCTTGGCCTTTGCATCGTGGCGGGCCTGCCCTGGGTTTGCACCACTCAGAAGCATGTCCCATGTTGACCTGAGGGCACTTCCCAGGCACTCAAGGAACCGCGCTCTGGCTTGGACCATGGAAGATCGCTTGGACTGTTGCTGAGCCTATAGCGTTTCTAACCTGAAGTTGTCCAGGAGCAGCACACTGGCACCTGCAAGGCCACAGTCGTATGAGTGACAACTTTTATAAGCTCAAAGGGAGAAAGGGCAGTTCTTGAAGCGCCGCGCTTGGTGCGAAGGTGTGCTGGCTGCACACCTGAGCCAGTTTTGCCATTGATCCATGGAGGAAACCTGACAAGTCGGAGGCCAGTTCGGTGCCCCGGTAGAGGCCAAGAAGTCCGTTGCAAAGTGAGCTGCTTCTGGCCACCTCCCACAGTGCCACAGCAGGATTTCAAACTCGAGAAACGCCCCCGAGGTCGTTCTGTGTCTCAGCACTCTTGCGCTGGCAAGCATGAACACATCCTCGTGTCAGGGCAGATGCACATAGTCAGGAAGCCTCCCTGCAGGGCTAGGACGCGTCTCCACAGGGCCCAGGCGCCGGCAGCCGAAGTGAGCTGCAGCGTTGTCGGTCTGCGCCTTCAGAAGCCCTGCAAGGAATCCTGTGGAGGTCAGAGCTCTGTTTGGGAGGTTTCTGCCGACGACCCGGCCTTCCCCTTCGCCGGCTGCGGGCTCTGTACACCAGGACTTCTTGCTTCAAGCCCGTGAATTCTTAGCCAGGATGCCACTGCCGGCTACTCAGAAGAGGACTCACCAAACTGAACCGGTAAATCCCCACAATGCAGCCGCCTAAACCTCACTCAAGACTCAAGCCCACCACCTGTGTGCAGGACCCTGCAGACTGTGGACCTTGCCCCCGGAGCCAAGAACAACGAAAAGCCCCTTAACTCCAAAACCCGAAGCCCTCTCACCCCTAAAGCCCCTTCTATGAAGCAAAGGAAGCCACCCCCTCCAACCCCGAAACCCCAAACCTTCCCCCCACCCCCCACCCCCCCCACCAAAGCTGCCCTGGGCCAGGCTTGGTAGCGCGTAGCAACAACCTGACTCTCGCAGTCGCAGCGGTCTGCACCTTGGTTTCGTGTGCTTACACGAAAGCTCTGCGGTTTATGCAGGCAGCATATAAGCATGCAAGATCAAAAATAGGCGGTGGGGGAGTAAGCATGCTTTGCTTATTTATTTTCACTTACTAGTACTTAGTTTCGGTAGTTACTCTTTTTTTGTGGCAGGGAGGGGGGGGATACAGCAAGCCTAGCTAGCTGCCCAACGCAGGGTACCAAAAGGATACTCCCAAATTCGAGCTCGCCTGTGGCCGTTGAGGTAGGGTTTCGGGTTGTGGGCTGGGGGTTCGGATGAGGGTTTATGAGTTGAGCTTGTACAGGAAGCTTACGAAAAGTCTCGTTTCGTAGGGTAGCTCAGGAGCCTTGTTTTTGGCCGGCTTCCAAGATGTCACCCGTCCTCCCCCCCCTCCCCAAAACCCTTAAAAAAATCCTGCAGTGCACTTTCTATAACGTCTATGAGGTACCCCTCTTTGAGCCAACCCGGGCCAACCCTCTGACTGAGCGGTCAGAACACTTTGACTTCGTTTGAGAAGGTTTCGCACAACATTCCTCCCACACGGCCACATGAACCCTAAACCCGAAACCCTAACCCTAAACCCTAAACCCTAAACCCTAAGCCCTAAAACCCTAAGGCTGCCGGACCTCAGCCTGGAGGATGTCCAAGGCGCGGTGAGGGTTAGTGCTCAGAGGAATTTGGGGATTTAGGGCTGTAGGCTTTAAAGGGTTAAAGGGTTTAGGGTTTAGGGTCAAAGGGTTTAGGGTTTAGGGTTCACGGTTGTTATAGCGTATGTAGGTTTTTAGGGTCTTTGGGAGTGTCTTCATAGTGTTTTTAGGGCTTTATAGGGCGTACAGGGTTTTTTGTGTGTTTGTCGGGTTTATGAGGTGGCTAGTGTGCATTATAGGGGTCAGGGTTTGGGGCGCGGCTTATAGATGTTTATCGGGTACTCTGGGTTTACAGGTTTCGGTTTGGGGGTTGGAGTTTCGGTTTTGCTTTGTTTGTTCGAGGAAAGTCGGCAACGCGAGAACCCAGGCTTGCAAAGGGTTCTAGGTCTTCCAGTGCTCTTACACCGATCTTCAGCTGTCATGCCGAAGTTTAAGTTCGCCCCATCTTCAGGACGCGGAGCAAAGTGCGAAAGACCTCGAGGCCCTGCTCAAGTTGCAGAAGCTGCAGCAGCTCTTCCAGCAGACGAAGCCGCCTCCACCGCAGCCAAAGCCGGCTAAAGAGGCAGACGTCTCGGAGACTGTCCAAGCAGCATCTCGGATAGCAGCGTCTTCAGAGTCACCAGACAGCAAACCTGAGCCCCCGGCCCAAACCACAACAGCGCCTGCCGCACCACCGCCTGCACCCCCGTCACCACCTCCCCCTTTGCCAGCCGCTCCGCCAGAGCCGGCACCACCCGAGCCGGTGCTTCCTCCGGAGCCGGCAGCGCCTCAGCCTGTGGCTGCACAGCCAGCCCCTCCACCAGAGCCCGCTCCTCCAGCCCCTCCTGCTCAGGAGGCAGCGCCTCCACCGGAGCCAGCGCCTCCGGAGCCAGCGCCTCCAACAGAGCCAGCACCTCCACCCGAACCAGCAGCCTCTCCAGAGCCTGCGGCTCCGCCAGAAGCAGTTCCACCCGAGTCTGCTGCTCAATCCACGCCGGAACCGGCGCAGGCAAGCAAACCACCCTCCAAAGCTCCCTCGAGCTCGAACTCCCCTCTTCCCACTCGCCGCTTGCGGCGGCACTCGCCCTCGCGACGGCCCTCGCGACGGCGCTCGCGCTCCCGGCGACGCTCGCGCTCCAGGCGTGGGTCGCGCTCGCGGCGTGCACGGCGCTCGCGCTCGCGCCGTGCGCGGTGGTCACGCCGACCCTCGCGGCCGCGACCATCGCGGAACTCCCGGCCATCACCGTCTCCTCATAAGGATCGCGCACGCGAGCGCATCGAGGAGGCGGCCAAGGCCAAACAAGCGGCGGAGCAGGCGGCTCAAGCTGCGCAAGCTGAAGCTGCCAAGAAGGAGAAGGAAGCCCAAGAGGCCGAGAGTCAGAAGGATGCTCAAGAGCCGTCTGAGGAGAAGGCCGAGAAGGCTCAACCTGCAGAGGCACAGATCCCCACGAACACAGCGCAGGCGGCAAAGGAGATCGCTGAGCGGCTTGCGCGGCAAACCGAAGAGGCTGCAGCAAAGGCAGCTGCAGACAAGGAGGCAGCCACAGCGGCCAGCCAGGCCAACAAGGAGGCTGAAGCAGCTCTGCTGGCGCAGCAGTCGCAACTTCAGCAGCAGCAGATGCTGTGGGACCCACAGCAGCAGCAGCTCATGCAACAGCAGGCGCGTGACACCCATGCACGAAAGAATGTCCAAACAGGGCAACAGGAACTCGGAGCACAATCCTGCAGTCCCAGCGGCTTCCCGGATATTTTGGAGCGTACCTGAAGTATGTAGATCCTTTGTTGGGTACCTCATAAGTATAACAGAGTTGAGAAAATTGGGTGCCCGAAAAGGTTACACTTAAGGGCCCAGGTATTGGATGTTGGAGCTTCCATTTGTGCCTTCCTGGTGGCCTCTTTGATTTGACAAGAAATGCCCAAGACCCCCTAAACCAACACCTCGGCTTCTTTAGGTTTAGGACTTGGGGCTTAAGATGGGGGTTTAGGGTTCAGGGTTTATGGTTTCGGGTGTACGGTTGCACGAAACAGATTGCGCTGCAGATGTCGCGCATGCGAGTACCAAGATGCAACAACATCGGCTCCTCTTTGCGACCCAGTCTACTCCCTAAAGCCCTAAGCTATGACCCTACACCGCGCAAGGCCATGCTTCAGCAGCAAGCAATGATGCAGGCATGGAGAGCCCCTCCCCCCCACCCCGACTCGAGCTTCAAGGAACCCAAAGCCCCCCCCCCCCCCCCCCCAAAAAAAAAAAAAAAAAAACAACCTTTGTAGAACACAGGCACAGCCTGTGGCTGGGTGGAGCGCTTGGCATACTTCCGTGGTGCGGCTTCCATGCAACTTCTGTTCTGCCAATCGCCCATCACCACTCTTAGCACAACCCAAAACCCTCACACTCTTTGTCCTCACGTGAACTCTAAACACTGCTAGGCCCCAAACCTCATAAACCCTGAAGTACTAAACCACCCACAACCCCAGAAGCCCTGAAACTCCTAGGCAGTTCATGCAGTACGGAGCTGGCGCCTCAGTTGGCTGTTGCTTGCGTTGACAGAAGCCTTCGCCCGAATGACCCCGAGGCTTACGGCATGCCAGACACCCAGCTGGTGCACTTCTTGCCCTGTTGTTGCAAGGGGTTTGGGTTTAGGGTTTAGGGTTTAGGGTTTAGGGTTTAGGGTTTAGGGTTTAGGGTTTAGGGTTTAGGGTTTAGGGTTTAGGGTTTAGGGTTTAGGGTTTAGGGTTTAGGGTTTAGGGTTTAGGGTTTAGGGTTTAGTTTCTTTCGGGGATTTGAGGGATCTTTTCCCGGCAGGCCGTGCGGTGGCTGTGTTGCCGGTGCCATGGGTGTGAGTCTGAGCTGGTCGGTGCATCGGATGCCTTGTGAAGATGATGTTTGCCGCTGCCCGCCTCGAACCCCCAGGCACAATGGCGGGGTAGTTGGGAAGGTCTGGGTATAAAGTATGAAGTGCACTTCTCGAATCATGTCTCGCGCGTCTCGCACTGTCCCTGCTCACCGAGGAATGGATCCCACCGCCTATGCCGCGTCCTCATGTCGACTTTGGAAAATGTCCAGCTCGCAGGATGGCGCAGCAAGTCCTCAAACCTTACAGAACCCAACACATATAAAAAAAGAGATCCCAACGCCTAAGCCCTAATGAGCTCCTGAAAGGAGCTCCCCACGCCTGAGCCCTAAGAGTAGCTCCTAAATAGCCCAAGCTCCAGGCTGCGGCGATGGGAAACCCGTATGGCGCACAGGCAGCCGATGAGCAGCGGTTACGCACACGCCGACGTCCGAGACCCCAAAGCAAAAGCATTTTCTGCCCAAATCACCTTTTAGGGTTTAGGGTTTAGGGTTTAGGGTTTAAGGGTTTAGGGTTTAGGGTTTAGGGTTTAGGGTGGCCCCCCGGCAAAAGCTTGAAGCCGCCCCAAAACCCCCCGGAGCTTGCACGGCAGGCTGTCTACATGCAGGCCCGGGCGGCTGTGTCCGAGATTTCCCTCTCATACCTGGCCCCTAAAGCTACTATATAGGAGCCCTCTTTAAGGCCCAAGTATCTACTGTATGGGTACTTGGACCCTTTGGGTTAAGGTTCACGTGGGTTTTCGGGCAGAAGGTACCTACTTGTCATTGTGCATCTCCCGAAATTGGGGTACCACCTCATTTGCCCCCAAAATGCTCTCTTCCTTATTCTAGGAACCACTAGAACGGGCGCCCTTCTAAACCCCAAACCGAAGCCCCGTAAACCCAAATTATTCCCAAAACTCTCGATGAAGACGCAGAATTTGCATCTTCAAAAGGGCGGCAGGCCTCCCAGCAAAACCAAAGCCCGAAAAACCAACAGATAACTTGTGCTTCAGGGCAAGGCTCCAGCCTCACACCCTCCCCCCCCCCCCCCCCCCCCCAAACCATGTGAGTGGAGTTCCTGGTGGGGAAGCAAAGCCTTGGCCCTGAAACCCTAAACCCTAAACACACCATGCAGCCATGGTGAGGCGTGTGCACAGTGAATCTGAGGAGGGTCATTGTTTGTTTAGCAGTTGGGCTTTAGATGGGCTTGGCATATCTTGGTATTGCTTAGGATGTAGACTGTATACCTAAGCCTTTCAGACCTTAAACCCTGCACCTTAAACCCGAATCCATGTACTTTTGAGGGTGTAGGGCTTCATGTCTTATCTCTCAGCTTGCTGGTTGAGGTGGACCCTCGATCAGCCAAGCAATTTGGAACGGTCAAGGTCTTCAACCCAGAGAAAGGCGCGGCGACCCATAGCCCTTCATACACCTAGGGCTTTTAGGGTTTATGGGTTATGGTTTACAGCACTTCAGCCCTAAACAGCACAGCCTTAACAATCCCAAACGTACCATAAACCCCAGAGCCCTGAACCCTTCGATTAAAAAGGCAACACGCAACCCTGAGATTATAGGATTGGCATCAAATTGCAACGTGGAGTAAAGGAACCGGAGATGAGTTTCTCGTAAGGCTCAAACCTACGCTACAGGGCTTGGGATGTAGTGTTGAAGAAGATTCTGGAGGGTTTCAGCGTATAGAACTGAAATTCTGGCTTTCAGGGTTATAGGTGTAAGGTAGGGCCTAAAGTTGTTTGGTTTTTTATTCGGGTGAAGGTGCACATTAAACGGTTTGAGTCTTATTGACTTTGCTTCATGCGGCACACATGGTTGGGGGGGGGGTCTAGGATTTGGTCGATGTTTGTAAAGGGGTATTCTGGTTGAGGTGTGCTTCGCCCAAAACCTGAAGCCCGGGCAGCCAACAACTCTTTCAGGGCATCAGGATGTGGGTCTTTGGTTTGCTAAACCCTAGGCCCTATAAATCCTAAACCCGTAACCCTAATCCTAAACCCTAAAGCCCTCAACCCGGAAGCCCGATTACAAGCCCCTGATGCCGCCACAGGCTTTGGTTTCGTCACATCTTCGTCGGTGCAGGCGGCGTTTGGGTGCCAGATGAAGTTTAGGGTTTAGGGTTTGGGGTTTAGGGTTTGGGGTTTAGGGTTCAGGGTTCAGGGTTTAGGGGGTTTGGGGTTTGGGATATTCAGCCTTTAGTATGTGGGGACTAGATGAAATCCTACCCTTCAAAGGATTCGCGAACCCCAAACCCTAAGCCCGAAACCCTGAACCCTAAATCCTAAACCCCAAGCCCCAAACCCTAAACCCTAAACCCCAATACTGGGTTGTAAGACCAGGGCGATGTCTTCTTCCTCCGGTCGGAGCTGCCAGCAGAGATGCAAATCCTGGTCGAGGCTCTGGTTCGGGGTTTAGGGTTTAGGGTTTAGGGTTTAGGGTTTGGGGTTTAGGGCTTAAGGTTGAGGATTTGGGGGGGTTGCTGCTTGGCTTGTGGACTGTTTGGGCTTAGGGTTTTAGGGGCTTTAGGGTTTTTAGGATTTTAGGGTTTAGGGTTTAGGGTTTTGTTGTTCTAGGGTTTTAGGGTCTTAAGCTTTTAGGGTTTCTGCATTCGGGTTGTGTTGGTTTGCGGTTGTAGGGTTTCTAGCTATTGTTGCAAGGGTGTAGGCGTGTGAGGGGGGGGGGGGGCAGGGGTCGGGGGAAGAGGCTGATGCACGTAATAGGTTTCAGGACCTGGGTTTCCTTTGTTTCTTGTTTTGATGTTTTTTGAGGAAGTTAGGGTTAGGGCTTTAGGTTTCTTTTAGCAGACTTGTGATGTTGCGTTTTGTGTATTGGAGGTATTGGAGAAGCTTGTTTAGGGGAATTGTGACCAAACCGTGGGTTTCCCAACACCCTGAACCTAAATCCTCAACCCTACACCCCAAGCCCTACACCCCGAACACGAGCCTTCACGAGGAGAGAAGGCTGGTCGGGCAACCGGTGTCCTTCGACCTCAGCATGGGCAAGGACACCCGCCACAGGGCGGGGAGCCCCTGGGAGACCAGATTTCGTCGTGGTCTTTCGGGTTTTGGGGTTTAGGACTCGGTGTTTTCGCTTTGGGAAGTCGTGTTGTTTGTCGTGGAGAGCTCGTTGATGTCGTTAGGATTAAGGGTCTTGCGAGATTCTCAGGGTGCTGTCTTTGCATGTCCATATACTTCGTGAATGCATATTGTACATACATATATTCACACACTTACATATATATATATGTATATATATATATATATGTATACATATGCACATGCACATAGAATTCCACATGCAATGGTATTCGGCAAGGTATAGAACAGGCGCGACAAGTGCATGTGTGTGTTGGTTGAAGTAAGAGTTGACATGCTTAGCTACTTAGTCTTGATGAAAATACAGCTGAAAAGCAGGGTGTGTGTGTGTGTGCACGCGCTTTTCAGGCCATCGAATGTATTCGGGCTTGGTAGTTACAGAGTTCTGATATGTCTGCACCGTGCACACCAAAACTCGAATCCGAATGAATGCAGCCTGAACTCCTCGACTGTTCCCTGGAAGTTATCAGCTTCAGGGCGTGGTTTTGGCGATTCTAGCCTCACGAATGTAGCCTTGACAGTTTCGGAGCTGCTCGGCTTCCTTCCCAGGCCACAAATATGCAGGCCTGCACTATGGAGGCCTTGCCCGTTGATGTTGGCAAGGTAGGCCTCATTGGCTGATGAGCTACCTCCTGACATGCCATGCCTGTCACAGTCTGACAAGATTTCGCACTTGCTGCCTGAGTCATTTGTGACACTTGCAACGTTCGCACAAGCTCGTGCATAGGGGGTGAGGCTTCTGGTATGGGGAACTCGGCTATGTGGGCCTTTTGAGCCACGCCAGATGGTGCAGCATGCCATGCAGATGGCGGCGCAGGCCCAGGCAGAGCCCTAGTGCAGGGTTGTGGGGTTGAGGCTTAGGGCGGCGCAGGGTGCTCTACATGGTCGCAGCTTGCATACGTGAAGCACGCAGAGAAGCCCCAACTTCCGCACAATCCTAGACCCTGAGCCCAAAACCCAATAGCCGACTGAGCCACACAGTAGCTTTGTGGCTAGAAGGGATGTTAGGTAGATCTGGCATATGTTTCACCTCCTTGATTTGGCTGAAGCGCATCATATTTAGGTCCCGAGACTCTTTAAACAGCAGGGTGTGCAGCCTAAACAGAGGTTGTTCAGGGTAGTCTAGGGAGATTTCATTTGAGAGCGCCCCCTTTCGGGGGATCTTGGGGATCCCGATGATGAACCCTAAGCCTGAGGCCCAAGCTCCAACCCCTGAGACCACCTAAACCCTAAAGCTTCTAAACCCTAAAACCCTAAACCCCAAAGCTTTGAACCCTGAACCCCACCCCTCCCAGGGAACTGCTGTGGAGGGCACCATCAAGTCTTACAGCGATCGGCACGGCTATGGGCCAGGGCCTTTCCGGAAACACAGAAGTTGCGGTTCAGAGCCTGCAGGGGTTTAGGGTTCGGACTCAGGGCAACAGGCTTGAGGCTGAGATGTTCAGAATTTCTGCCCTGCGCTGCGTATTGCAGGTTTTGAACCTCCTCCTTGGCGGCTTGGGATGCTCCAAGCAAGCGCCTGTAGGGCCCTACTAAGCCCGAGATTGCTTTAAAGAGTCGAAGCCCTAAAGTTCAAGCCCTAGGCTCCATCAACCTAAAGGCCCGACTTCCCCTTCTGGTACTTGCCCTAAACCCTAAACCCTAAACCCTAAACCCTAAACCCTAAACCCTAAACCCTAAACCCTGAACATCTCCGCAGGTTCATCTCGTCGGCCTCCCTCAACCGGGACGCGCAGTTCAAAACGGGCGAGTTGCCTCCTGACTTGCAGGTCCGAGGCTCAGGAAGGGGTCCTAACTGGCCCCCTAAACCCTAAACCCCCCTAAACCCTTAAATAGCCCAAGTAACCCTAAACCCTAGACAGCCCAAAGGAGCCCAACCCTTAAACCCTAAATAGCCGAAATATCCCTAACCCCCCCACCCTGAAAGGGGCTTCGGGTTTAGGATGTTTGGGTTTGGGTCCCACAGTTTACGAGTGTGGTGTTAGGGAGTTTAGGGTTCCAAGGACCCTACAGATGAACCGTAGGATAACATCAAGGGTGTCGAGCTGACATGTGGCTCATAAGGGTTAGATGCTGTGACGTTTAGGGTTTTTTTTCCTACAAACGGGGGGTGTTTTTTAGATGCCCCAAAATACGATACTTCCTAAGAAGAGGAACCCCCCCCATAGGTATCCTGAATTTCGAGAAGCTTTCAGTATCTCCCGCCTTCGAAACGGAACTCAGACTTGGAGGTGATTTCGCCCCCACCCCCCCCCCCCCGCCCCCCCGAGGGCTCCAAACTGGGCGTCATGAAGCTCAGACCTCTGGTGCTTAGGAACTGTCTATGACTTTCCATGAGCTTAGAGGAGACTTAAGGCCTTAAGACTTCTAGGGGTTAAGGCTTTCTGGTTTTGGGGGTGTAGGCCTTTAGTTCCGAGGGCTTAAGGCTTAATGCCGGCAAGGCGCTCGGGACCCAACTTATCGGCCGCACCATCAACTGCCAGGCAGGGGGCCTGGAAGAGGACCTATAGAGGGTTTAGGGTTTAGGAGTGGCACCCCTGTCAAGAATCCCTAGCCTGGGGTCATACAAACTGGTCTGTCTTTGAATTGGGATGTCTTGAACTGTCCTTCGGTTGCTTAACTGTTTTGTTTCAGGGTGACAGGATTGGGGGATTAGGTCCACTAGGTGCTTCAAAAACCCGCCTGCCGAAGTCCCCCCCCCCCCCCAAGATACGCAGTTCTCTTTGGGACTTCCGGGTTTTTCGACCCTGCCTGCCCCAAAACCGATACAAATTCCCAAGATGCCACCCTGAGCCAATAGGGGGTTTAGGGTTTAGGGTTTAGGGTTTAGGGTTTAGGGTTTAGGGTTTACCCAAAATTTTGGGGTTTTACCCCAAACCCCAAGCCCTGAATTGCCAACGCCCTGTGCAAGACTGCAAAAAGGACCCAGGATCCGCCTTCCCCTTCTGCCAAAAGCACAACCCACCACCACCCTGAACCCCCTAAACCTTACGGGGATTTAGGGTGTTGCTTCTTAGCACAAAATTAGGGAGTCAAAGGGGTAAAAAAGGGATGAGACAAAGTACCTGCTTCCGCAATTCCCAGGAACCCTACACCCTTATAAACCCTGGCAAGAAGCCCAGCAGTCCGCTGCCAGATCCATGCTCTGGCGGATGGCAAGCTGAAGGCGAACTCCTGTTACAGGGTTCGGGGGGTGCGCTGATGTCCTCAGTGGACCAGAACTTTGCTAGTCTGGAACAACACGAAATCACCAACGCAAGACCCCAAACCCTAAACCCTAAATACCCTGAAGGCCCTGAA